TTTCCTTTAATTTTGTAATATATACAGGAGAAGGGGTTACTAGCCCCTCCTGGCATTTTGTTTGCCTCTTACAACACCCTGGTTACAGAGGAAGAATTCTGTTTCCCTTTTCCCCCCCTGGAGGGAAGAGGGAAAAAAACCAAAAAACAAGAAAATAGTAAGGGAAAAAGAAGAAAACCCTGAAAAGGGGTGTGTATTTTATTTTGCCCTTTTACATGTATGCGTTTGTGGACCTAAGGCAAATAAAAGCAAGACGTACCTGAAACCTTGCATTTATAAAACAGAAAAAAATAGCACCAGCAATACTTCCATCATTTAAAACAATTACAGGCTTTCGTTTTTTCACTCAGTGATTATGTTTTTAGTGAGGTGGAAAGTGTTGAAAAGTGATGAAAGTTTTTCTTTTTTTGGGGGTTTTCCCTTTTTTTTGGGTCACCCCCTTGGTTTGGGGGACGGGGCCCACTTTTTAAAAAAAAAAAAAAATATATATATATGTACTGTAATTTTTTGTTAAAAAAAAAAATATAAATTATATAATTTTTTATAGGGTAGTAATTTTGGGAAAAAGCAAAACCCCCCAGGGAGGTACTACCGTCCCGGGAAGCTATTTTAAAACCCAAAGCTTGTAAAATTTTTTTACATGATGGTAGGATTGCTGGTTTTCTTTTGTCTTTCCCCTAAATATGCAAAAAATTTCAGGTACATCTTGCTATTCTACTTACCTTGTCACACTATACATACGTGTACAAGCATATAGTATATACACATCCCTCTGGGTTTTCTTCTATTTTCTTACTAGTTCTTGTTCTTGTTTATTTCCTGTTATCTCCATGGGGAAGTGGATCAGAATTCTTCGTCCGTAAGTCATGTGTGTTGTAAGAGGTGACTAAAATGCCGGGAGCAAGGGGCTAGTAACCCCTTCTCCTGTGTATATTACTAAATGTAAAAGGAGAAACTTTCGTTTTTCCTTTTGGGCCACCCCACCTCGGTGGGATACGGCTGGTGTGTTGAAAGAAAGATATATACTATATATGTAACTACTTAATAGAAAGCCCCTTATTATGTGAAGCATTTCAGGCAGACTTAAAACTAAATTATGATTACATGTATGTGAAAATAAGAATACATAATTTTTAAACTATTGGAGGCATTTAGTAATTCAATAAAACATTATAATTAATGATATATTAAAGACAAAGCTAAGTACATGAGATGAAGGAATGATAGACAAGGACAGGAACAATGCAGGTTGAAAGAATTGTTCAGTAATTAATTGTTGTTAGATCACATTAGGGAAAGGAGGTATTTTTTAACAGTAGCTTTGAAGCCACAGTCATAACTGACTTGATTATGGTCAAAGATGGACTGGAATAACATTTAAAATTTGCTCTCCAAATTTTTCACAAACAGTAAAGAGGTTTCATGTTGGTTAATGTGTTTATTTCTTCATGTCACTGTTGCTGTCAGTAACCTGCAAGCTTATGTGGCTATCACAACCTCTCTGATCTGTGTCACTCTGTGTGGCAGTGATGCTTCACTGTTGCTGTCAGTAACCTGCAAGCCTATGTGGCTATCACAACCTCTCTGATTTGTGTCACTATGTGATGGTGATGCTTCACTGTTGCTGTCGTTAACCTGCAAGCCTATGTGGCTATCACAACCTCTGATCTGTGTCACTCTGTGTGGTGGTGATGCTTCACTGTTGTCAGTAACCTGCAAGCCTGTGTGGCTATCACAACCTCTCTGATCTGTGTCACTCTGTGTGACAGTGATGTGATAGTCTTCAGTGCTTTTTGTCTTTTTAACCTGCAAGCCTGTGTGGCTATCACAACCTCTCTGATCTGTGTCACTCTGTGTGACAGTGATGCTTCACTGTTGTCAGTAGGTCTGCTGCAGTGTTCCTTCTTTCTTATGTTCTTTTGTAACCTGCAAGCCTATGTGGCTATCACAAGCTCTCTGATCTGTGTCACTCTGTGTGACAGTGATGCTTCACTGTTGTCAGTAGGTCTGCTGCAGTGTTCCTTCTTTCTTATGTTCTTTTGTAACCTGCAAGCTATGTGGCTATCACAAGCTCTTGATCTGTGTCACTCTGGTGACAGTGATGCTCACTGTTGTCAGTAGGTCTGCTGCAGTGTTCCTTCTTTCTTATGTTCTTTTGTAACCTGCAAGCCTATGTGGCTATCACAACCTCTTTGATCTGGGACATTCTGCAAGAATCAAAACTTATTTTGCTCTGGCAATATTTCTTAATTGCTGGTATTATAGAGGATCTACTGATAGGTTGGTAGTCCTATAAAAGGCTCATGGAACCCAACCACAGAATTCTCTCTCTCTCTCTCTCTCTCTCTCTCTCTCTCTCTCTCTCTCCTCTCTCTTAATTTTTCTCTCATCTATATGCATAAAACTTCTCTCATCCTATTTTCTTTCTAAGCCACACAATTCTTGTGTTTAAATATTTATTCCCCTTCACAGAAATGAACCCACTCTCTCAGGAACTGATTAATTACGATATCCGGAGGTCCACTGTATACCTCTACCATATGTGCATCATCACACCTAAGTGTGCCACACCCCCATCACTTTTTTTCCTTGGAAAACTGTCTTCTAGCTTATATTTTATGAGTACAGTGGACCCCCGCCTTAATGATATTAATCCTTTCCTGAGAGCTCATCGTAAGCCAAAATTATCGTAAGGCGAATTAATTTTCCCCATAAGAAATAATGGAAATCAAATTAATCTGTTCCTGACACCCCAAAGTATGAAAAAAATTTTTTTTTTTGCCACATGAAATATTAATTTTAATAAACACAAACTTCAAGAAGACATGCACAGTTAATACTCTACTAAGAATAGAATACATGACACTTACCTTTATTGAAGATCTGGTGATGATTGATGGGATGGAAGGAGGGAAGTGTGTGGAAGTTGTTATTGTTTAGAAGGGGAATCCCCTTCCATTAGGACTTTAGGTAGCAAGTCCTTTTCCGGGGTTACTTCCCTTCTTCTTTTAATGCCACTAGGACCAGCTTGAGAGCCACTGGACCTCTGTCGCACAACATATCTGTCCATAGAGCTCTGTACCTCTCGTTCCTTTATGATTTGTCTAAAGTGGTTCACAATATTGTCATTGTAATAGTCACCAGCACGGCTTGCAATAGCTGTGTGAGGGTGATTTTCATCCATAAAGGTTTGCACTTCAAGCGACTTTGCACGCATTTCCTTAATCTTTGAAATAGACAACTTCTTCAGTTTCTCTCTCCCCTCCTCTGAAGCAGTTTCCTCAGGTGTGGCCTCTTGCTGTTGAAGATGATCTTGCAGCTCATTAGTGGTTAGTTCTTCATTGTCCTCCTCCACCAACTCTTCCACATCCTCCCCTGTAACCTCCAACCCCAAGGACTTCCCCAATGCCACAATTTATTCCACAACTGGTATACGCTTCTCAGGGTTAGCCTCAAACCCTTCAAAATTCCTTTTGTCTACACATTCTGGCCACAGTTTCTTCCAAGCAGAGTTCAAGGTCCTCTTACTCACTCCCTCCCAAGCCTTACCTATAAGGTTTACACAACTGAGGATACTAAAGTGATCTTTCCAAAACTCTCTTAGAGTCAATCGAGTGTCTGAGGTCACTTCAGAGCACTTTTGAAACATAGCTTTTGAAATGACCTACTGGTCCATGGGCTGCAGGAGAGGAGTGGTATTAGGAGGCAAAAACTTCACCTTAATGAAGCTCATGTCCGCAGAAAGTCGCTCTGCCAAGTCTGAAGGATGACCAGGAGCATTGTCTAATACCAGGAGGCACTTAAGGTCCAATTTATTTTCCAGGAGGTAATTTTTCACAGTGGGGGCAAATGCATGGTGTAACCAGTCATAGAAAAAGTCCCTAGTGACCCATGCCTTACTGTTTGCCCTCCACAGCACACACAAATTAGCCTTGAGGACATTGTTTTGCCTGAACACTCTGGGAGTTTCAGAGTGGTACACCAATAAAGGCTTCACTTTGCAATCACCACTAACATTAGCACACATCAAGAGAGTAAGCCTGTCTTTCATAGGCTTATGTCCTGGGTGTGCCCTTTCCTCCTGAGTAATGTAGGTCCTGCTTGGCATTTTCTTCCAAAACAGGCCTGTTTCGTCACAATTAAACACTTGTTCAGGTTTCAGTCCTTCACTGTCTATGTACTCCTTGAATTCCTTCACATATTTTTCAGCCGGTTTTTGGTCCGAACTGGCAGCCTCACCATGCCTTATCACACTATGTATGCCACTACGATTCTTAAATCTCTCAAACCAACCTTTGCTGGCCTTAAATTCACTCACATCACCACTAGTTGCAGGCATTTTTTTAATTAAATCGTCATGCAACTTCCTAGCCTTTTCACATATGATCGCTTGAGAGATGGTATCTCCTGCTATCTGTTTTTCGTTTATCTACACCAGTAACAGTTTCTCAACATCTTCGAGTACTTGCGATCTCTGTTTTGAAAACAAACTTGCACCTTTTGCAAGAACAGATTCCTTGATTGCCATTTTGTTGGCCACGATAGTAGCGATGGTTAATTGGGGTTTGGTATACAACCTGGCCAGCTCCGAGATGCGCACTCCACTTTCGTACTTAGCAATTATCTCTTTCTTCATTTCCATAGTAATTATCGCCCTTTTTACTGCAGGGTTGGCACTAGAAGCTTTCTTGGGGCCTATGGTGACTTATTTTACAGCTACAATCACTAAAAACACTGTGATAATATGAAATGTACCGAATGTATGCGTGGATGCGACCGCACTGGCTGGCTTGTAAACACTGGCACTCACGGGGCAGCTGAGGCCACGTGTGGGACACATCCCGGACGAATCGCGTGAGGCGAGGCAAAATTTTTGCATTCAAATGTATCGTATGGTGGATTTAATGTAACGCGATGCCATCATAAGGCAGGGGTCCACTGTATTGGAATATTCAATTTAGTCTTTTTTTTTTAGAACATGAGTACCTTCTGGGATGTAGCATTTATGGGGTCCTTGGGAATTTATTCCCTTGTCAAATATTAATTTTTTTTTATGTACATTAATACAGAATATTTTTTTTCAGGATGGAGATTTCTTAGTGCGCGAGTCTCAAGGGACTGCTGGTCAATATGTCTTGACTGGGATGCAGAATAACACAAAAAAACATTTGCTACTGGTTGACCCAGAAGGAGTAGTGAGTATTTTAATTAATTGTTAATGAAAAACAATTTAAACAGTTACCATTACAAAAACAGTGAATCTATACAAGATGTATGCATGAAAGTGCTGTTGAGATATTTTGATCTTGCAGAAATACTGGAGCAAGATAGGTTGGTAAAGAGATATAAGTCTGGGTTGCATGGAAGATGGTAGTGAGGTGTAAATAAGATTAGAAGGCAGTGTCCTATAAAATTGTTTTTAGGTATATGTTACCATGAGAGGCCAGACAGTGAAATTATCCATGTAGTATTTGCTGTGTTGTTGGAGTACGAGCAATGTAATACGTATAAAGAAATTTGAATAAACTGATAAGCTAGATTCTGATTTTAGAAGCTGGGAAGTACAGTGTCTACATTTTAGTATAAGATGGGGAGGTGTGTGTGTGAGCAGTGAAATGTAACATCTGTGATCTTTGAGGGGACAACTCAAGAGTGAACGTTTTCTCTTGGATCACAGTGTTGGGTGAGAAGTATCAGAATTGAGGAATTTCTTGATATATGCGGGTGGTACATACATCCTGGATAATCTTAAAATTTATTATATTTTTATATACCATACATGTATTGAGAAATACATAAGGTACACCTGCATTGTAATTATGAATCATGTTTTAGTCAGTCATTATCAGGATATGAATGAATTTGAAGGCTTGTGTGTGTTTAATTGCTTTATGTTGTATGTAATATAACTTGTAACAATACCATATAGCTAAATACCCATTTTGTATTCTGCTATAAATAATAATTTGCATATTTTTGCAGGTTCGGACAAAATCACGCACATTTGATAGTGTGAGTCACCTGATAATCTACCATCGTGATAATGAACTCCCAATTGTCTCAGCCGAGTCAGCACTTGTGCTCCGTAACCCAGTCCTAAGGCGCACACGCTAGTAGTGTTCAACAAGCAAAGTTATGCTCTTGCAGGTTGACAAAAGACAGTAATAAGCCTCACTAGCTGTAACGTTAGCGTCCAGTGTCAGAAAAATGCACAAGTGAACCTTTAGAGGCCTGTGTGGTTTACAGTTGTATTGTAACCACTTGTAAAGTTTTGTTGGTTGACTATCTATGAGGCTTGAATTTATTTCATGTATTGTACGTACAAGTATCATAACTTATATTTTTTCCAATTAAAACAATGTTTATGTCTTCATCTTTATATAATCGTCATGAATGAGTTATTAATGTTGTAAAAGAGAAATATGATGACAATTGTTTCATGCTACTGTAATGGGAACTTGAAGTATGCTTTGTTGGGGATATCTGGGGAAGGATTTTGGTAATACTGCACAGGGTTATGAGAGAGAATTTTTAGCCATTTTTGATGTAGCCCTACATGGTATAGTGCAGTTCTTGACTGCCTTCCAAACCTTGACAGAGAATAGCTAAAAACATGCAATACAAGCCATGCCCCACATTTATGTAGGATGTCAACTATGCTTGGCTCTGCACACCATGTAAATTAATGGTGCTCTAACCCTCTCTGGGTAGGCTATTAAATTTCAGTGTCATGGGTTGAAAGTTAAGATAACCATTAACAGATAAAGCTTACCTAAAATGTCTTGGAAGGAGTACCTGTTCAATACTAAATCAGTTTTGCATTGGTTATTACACTATTTGGCAGTGTATTGTTAATGTAGGTAACTGAAGGGAGAGCTTTGCCATAACATTTTATTAATTTATTACTTCTGTACTGTATCCCTTTGCTTTGTTATATTACCATTTAACATGTACATTTAACATTCAGTGAAGCATGTTATTTATTGTTAAATCAGTGATATTACAGCACTATGGATGGGCCATTGTTTATATTTTGGTTGCACATTTTCCATCTTTATTATTTTATACAATTTTTGTGGTTCATTGATAAATACTGTGTGTTAGAGCTTGTCTTAGGTGCTTGTGACTGCTCACCAGGTTACTTTTTGTTGTGAGCGCACTCAGTGAAAATGGCAGTATCATTTAGCGCAGTTCAGCGTACGGCAAATAAGAATTGTTATATTTATTTACTTGTAATATGTAATTATAAAGTAATAAAATAATTGTAATAACATGGGGAAAAGAGGAAGAGGAGGAGGGAAGAAAGGTGAAAAAAAAAAAAACACGAAGGAAAGGAGAGAGAGAGAGGGGAAATTACTTTCATGCTGAAGGTTGAATTGTCTACTAGTTCTTGGATATTTTAATAGAGTATAGCACCAAGTGAACATAGTGGCCCCCATAGTTTTTAATAATGAAAGTGATTTATGCTATAATGACATTTATAGTAATGAACACTTAGTTTTACTTTATGTGAAAAAAGAATATTTGTCATAACTGAAAATAAAACACTTGTAATATATACCAGTATCATAGTTCAAACACGTACATTCATGATACATTATTCTGCTAATTGTTTAAAAAGTTATTAATAGAATACAGTACTGTATTTGATTATTGCAAATTTTTCCATTAAAATATTGGAATCGCCGAAGCACCTAACACAAGCCAGGGTGAGAAATTAATGAAAAATTATATTAAAATATTTATCATACTGTATTTATATTGTACATTTAGGAATTTAAACTTTAATTTCTGTTGTCATTTTGCCAAAAATTTGCTATCTCTTCCTTTTGTTTATATAAAGATGGCTGGCTAGTCAAAATTTGCCATCTATATAACTCTTTTAAAAATAAATTACAGTACCAACAGGTGGGACAGTGGGAAAAAAAAAATAATGTAAATAGGCTAATTGCAATAACATGAGCAATATAAAAAAAAATATAGTTTCAGAACTGTAATCAATCTCGCGTTGTCTAGAACCCTCGGTCATTATGCTGAAAAATGGTGTGAATATTTGGTTCATAAACGCTCACACCCCGAGTTAGTACGTATTATAATGCTGACTTAGTCAGCTGTTGTTCTCAGATATATTAAAACATAATGAAAAACTTTGTCCAGTTATCAGTGCTTAACCCATAGTAGTGCTTCAAACATCTCTCAGCTGGGTTTGTGGACGATGTACGAGCTTGAAGTAATGTGTGCCTGTCTGAAGGATATTTTCTGTAATGGAGAAAAATTTTGCTATTAATTTGAAATCATTAGATAGTACATTCTGTTACGTCACACATTATGTTTTAACGAGAATATTGTCACACCAAATATCCCAACATTGGTTCCTGAAAAATACGAGAGATAAGTAAAACAGAGACCCCTCCAAGTCTTTCCCTCAAGCCTTGCATTCTTGTGCCCTCCTGTTGTTCGTGCCTCGGGTGGTTCCCAAGCTGCATCACCACCAAATTAATTTGGTGCTAGGCCTATGGCCCTAGCAGACTGTATATTTTTTTCTTACTCATAATTTATTGACACATGTCGAAACTTCATGAAATTTATAATAGGAATAAATTCACTTTTGTCTTGTGGTGAAAAGGGCAAAATTGTCCCATATTCCATGTTCCTTAATTACATATAAATATTAAGGATTGATTAGTAGGTAAATGTGGTATGACTAAAGTTTTTTAACTTTATAATGAATGTTAATGTACTTGACTGTAAGTCAGTGAAACAAAATTATATTTTTTGTAGAAGTGATGAAGCGTCATATTTAGTCAATTAAAAAACTTTTTTAAGAACTCCTTCATGTATCAGTACAAACCCAGACTTGGGCTTTGGCCTGAATACTTAGACACTGCTTGAAAATGCTTTTGCTTTGCAAATATTTATGACTTCACAAGAATGTAGCTCAGGCCTATTTGTCACCTGAAATTTAGTTTTAAAATCTTGTTGCAAACATGAGAGCTACGACAGGAGGGAATTGCGTGTAGCCCATCTTGAGAGGTAAATATGTACTGGTACAATTTTTGTAGTTGAACAATCTACTGCATCAAGCATTTGAACCTCCAGTTTTAGAATGAAACTATTTTTGGACAATTTGTTGGATGGAGACAAAATGTTGGTCGAGGGACTAGTGTAAAGGTGAGATTACACATGATGCATATTCTTGGGAGAGACACTGTAGACAGAATTTGGAAACCACTGCTGTAGGTTATCTCATAGTACTCAAGTAGTGACTGAGAATTCATGTCTTAGCTACCAGTAGTTCTCCTCAAAACATTACCAATGCATATAGCTTTAAACTTGCCACATTCCTTGCAAGACACCCAGCATCAGTCATTATTTTCTCTATATAGAAGCTTAAGTCACCATAACCCTACATTTGTTATTAGCCAGAGTCTGTTTAGCATCTGGAATAATGAACGGAACTGTAATAGAGCTCCTCAGTGGCTTATCAGGTTGGTGGGGCTTTCCCCAGATTGAATAAAACAATCTGGAAATGTGGTTGATTCATACAGAGGTATTGTTAAGAAATGTCACTGAGATGAGAATGCAGATCTAAGTTATTTGGAGTTGGCAAAGGAAAGACTTGCGAATAGCTCTTAGTCACCCAAAATATGTGTTTGTGCAACAATATATGAAGTACGAGTTGCATTAAAAGCCTTCTGTTCTGAAATGAACTCTGTAATGGAGCAATATACAGTTTAATTCCCTTTCATTTAAGTTGACCATTACTTAATAATAGCCTGTATCATTTTCAATAGTGCAACATTTGATGATAAGTCTCCCCTGTTCCTTGTGTATAGCAGATGTCCTGTGTTTGTGTCTGACGGTCCATAAAAACGAGCAATAGGTTTCTTACTTGTAACCCAACTAGCTAACTGTAAACCAAAGAAGTAATGTAGGGACTGGGAATATATGGGTAACTAATCCACTTCACATTTTAATATCAGTGTGTAACAAGCTACTGAACCTCTATTTTTCAACAAATATTTTTGCTACATGAAATGACTGTGTCATTAATGACAAACTTGCCTTGTAGTTTTTAGAATGACATGTCCTCATTTAATTCTATGTATTATATGTTGTAATATACTGTAATTCAGTCAATATTAAGATTACATTTAATTGTACATATGATCATGGTATTTTAATGTTATGTGTGCCAAAATACGACTCATTAGTTATTTTACCTATTGGCTGTTGATAATCAAAATGGCTCTTTCTATTAGTTACTTGTGACTTGGCTGACATTAAATATAATATATAAATTGAGACACGTGTGAATGAATATAAATCACTGTAACTTTGTATTAATAACTGAATAAAATATCACCTATTATATGAATGCTCATTGGCATTTTCCCCCAGCCAGCTTCACAAGAATTTTCTTATAAAAATGGTTTCAGAATTACAGTCAAAGAAGGAAAACACATTCACCATCACCCATTCCCAAGCTGTCTTTCCAGATGTGTATGAACATCACAGCTTAAATAAACCACTGAGATCCAATACCTGTAGTACAGGTACAGTACAGGGACTGTACACCTCACCTTCGTCCTTCAAGATGAAGTACTTTATGTTGGTGAAGAGCTCTTTAAGGTACTGGACCCTCCTTCCTTGGATCAATCCTTCTAGGAAGGTACCTTGATATTTATGGTGGGGGGGCACTTGTTCTACAGAATGAATTTAGCCTCCCCTTCCTTGGACTGAATGCGAATACCTTCCATTCTCCAGGCCCTATACAACCCCTGTGGGTTAAGTGCTTCCTGCTTTAATAAAAGTTCGTACAAAAATTCCTAGTTGTCAAGGGTGATGATGTCTGGCAAAACCAAGATAAAGATCGGGATTTGTGTGAGATTTGATTAAAGGATATTGGAGCCCCAGTTGAGTCTTTATACCTCTTGTTTGTATGACCCTAGTGGGTTTACTGCTTGGTTTTGATTTTTTTTTTTTTTTAACAAGTCTGCCGTCTCCCACCAAGGCAGGGTGACCCGAAAAGAAAGAAAATCCCCAAAAAGAAAATGCTTTTATCATCATTCAACACTTTTACCTCACTCACACATAATCACTGTTTTTGCAGAGGTGCTCAGAACACAACAGTTTAGAAACATATACGTATAAAGATACACAACATATCCCTCCAAACCGCTAATATCCCAAACCCCTCCTTTAGAGTGCAGGCATGTACTTCCCATTTCCAGGACTCAAGTCCGACTATATAAAAAACCGGTCTTGATTATAATAATAATATACCTCTTGTGTGATGGGACGCATTTGGCAGGGCATGTAAGGTCGTGCATCTCCCCAAAGAAACAATAGGTCAAGTTCGTTTTTGCATGACATTCTCCCAGCTTAGAAAGTGTTGTTTCAGAAGGTGGTGGCTGATAATCCCCGTCAAGCCTAAGGAAAGACAGACCCAGCATTCCCTGGAGTGAATTTATGGAAAACTGGATGGGTTACATGAGTGGCTGGCTCGGGTGTTAGTTATGGTGGTAGGGTACTAGGAGAATACCATTTATAAGAGCCTTGAGCTTAGACATGGGAGCAATAATAACCACTGAGGTGCAAGCTGCAGAGTATATAGTTATTAGCTATGCTAACAAGATGTGGATGCTTAACATCCATAACCCCCTCAAGGGTAATTCCTTGATGTCAGTGAGGGGCTCTTGATCTAAGTAATTAGACCTGTACTCCCCTCCTTGTGTTGTATGATCCCCTAAGGGTAAGAATAATAATAATTGGCATACCAAACCATACCCCCGGCCGGGATTGAACCCGCGGTCATAGAGTCTCAAAACTCCAGCCCATCGCGTTAGCCACGGGCTGGAGTTTTGAGACTCTATGACCGCGGGTTCAATCCCGGCCGGGGGTATGGTTTGTTTGCAATCGTGTCATTACGATTTCTTGAGTCAGTAATAATTGGCATCCATATGTATAGAGTTAAGTTGTTTTGAGCATTAATTTATCCATGTTGGAATCTTTGTGATACTACTACTGTGCTGTATGATTCTTGTTTAGTTTTGATTGTAATAATAATAATGATGTGATACTATGATTATCACTACTGTCATTGTTACTGTTACCACTGTTGTCACCACTAATTTTATGACTACTGTTACCACTACTATCACTACTGTTACCACTACTGATGCCAGTGTTGTTACCACTGCTGTTACTACTACTGATGCCACTACTGTTACCACTACTGATGCCACTATTGTTACTACTACTGATGCCACTACTGTTACCACTACTGATGCCACTATTGTTACTACTACTGATGCCACTACTGTTACCACTACTGATGCCACTATTGTTACTACTACTGATGCCACTACTGTTACCACTACTGATGCCAGTGCTGTTACCACTACAGATACCAATACTACTACCAATGCTCATACTACTCCTGTAATTGTTATTATTACATTCGTGGTGGGAGTGCTAAACCCGTAGGGGTCACTTGGGGGTATGGAAGGCATTCAGATTCGATTCAGGAAATTGGATCACAAGTCTAATCTACTGCTGTTCCCACTACTGATACCCCTGCTGTTCCCACTACTGATACCCCTGCTCTTTCCACTACTGATACCTCTTCTCTTCCCACTACTGATACCCCTGATGTTACCACTACCGATACCCCTGCCGTTACCACTAATGATTTCCCTGCTGTTACCACTGATATCCCTACTGTTCCCACTACTGATACCTCTGCTGTTACCACTACTGATACCCCTGCTGTTACCACTACTGATATCCTTGCTGTTCCCACAACTGATACCCCTGCTGTTATCACTACTGATACCCCTGCTGTTCCCATTACTGATACCTCTGATGTTACCGCTACTGATATCCCCGCTGTTACCACTAATATCCCTGCTGTTCCCCCTACTGATACCCCTGCTGTTACCACTACTGATATCCCTCCTGTTACCACTACTGATACCCCCTGCTGTTACCACTACTGATACCCCTTCTGTTACCACTACTGATACCCCTGCTGTTATCACTACTGATACCCCTTCTGTTACCACTACTGATACCCCTGCTATTTCCACTACTGACACCCCTGATGTTACCACTACTGATATCCCTGCTGTTACCACTAATTTCCGTGCTGTTCCCACTACTGATAACCCTGCTGTTACCACTACTGATATCCCTGCTGTTACCACTACTGATACCCCTACTGTTACCACTACTGATATCCCTGTTGTTACCACTACTGATACCCCTGCTGTTACCACTACTGATACCCCTTCTGTTACTGCTACTGATACCCCTGCTGTTACCACTACTGATACCCCTTCTGTTACCACTACTGATACCCCTGCTGTTACAACTACTGATACCCCTGCTGTTACTGCTACTGATATTCCTGCTGTTACCACTGATACCCCTGCTGTTACCACTACTGATATCCCTGCTGTTCCCACTACTGATACCCTTACTGTTCCCACTACTGATACCCCTACTGTTCCCACTACTGATGCCCTGCTGTTCTCACTAGTGATACTCCTACTGTTACCACTACTGATACCCCTACTGTTACCACTACTGATACCCCTACTGATAACCCTGCTGTTCCCACTACTGATATCCCTACTGTTACCACTACTGATACCCCTGCTGTTACCACTACTGATATTCCTGCTGTTACCACTGATACCCCTGCTGTTACCACTACTGATATTCCTGCTGTTACCACTACTGATATTCCTGCTGTTATCACTTCTGATATTCCTGCTGTTACCACTACTGATACCCCTGCTGTTCCCACTACTGATACCCCTGCTGTTCCCCCTACTGTTACCACTACTGATGCTGTTACTGTGTTTACCACTGCTGTTAGCACTACGATTCCTCAATAAATAAATATCTTGAGCTGTGAATACTATGCAGTGCATACCATGCTGTGCATACTGTGCGTGCATGCTATATTGTGTATACTATGCTTTGTATGCTATGCTGTGCATGCTCTGCTGTGTATACTATGCTTTGAATACTATGTTGTACATGATATGCCATGCATGCTCTGCAGACTATGCTGTGTATATTATACTGTGCTGTGCAAACTATGCTGTGTATGTTATGCTATGCAGATTATGCTGTGCATGATGTGCTGTGCACACTATGCTGTGCATGCTATGCTGTGCACACTATGCTGTGCATGCTATGCTGTGCATAATATGCTGTGCATACTATGCTGTGCATGATGTGCTGTGCACACTATGCTGTGCATGATGTGCTGTGCACACTATGCTGTGCACACTATGCTGTGCATGCTATGCTGTGCATGATGTGCTGTGCACACTATGCTGTGCATGATGTGCTGTGTGCACTATGCTGTGCATGCTATGCTGTGCACAATATGCTGTGCATGATGTGCTGTGCATGCTATGCTGTGCACAATATGCTGTGCATGCTATGTTGTGTATACTGCTGTGCATGCTATGCTGTGTATACTATGCTGTGCACACTATGCTGTTCATACTGTGTTTTGCACACTATGCTGTGCATGCTATGCTGTGCATACTATTTTTTTTCGATTTTTTCTTTATTTCTCTTATAATCCAAAATAATTAACGCTTTCTGCGTCAAGACAAAGTATTGCGCCTCAACCAGGCAGCACGATGTGATCCTCCCTTCGTCTGAGAGTAGCGGTAACCACGTCCCAGACCACGGTGCTTGCGGCCTGCCGAAGTCTTTCCACGCATTTCTCTGTGCTTTTGTGTAGGCTTGCACAACCAGTTCTTTGAAGCATCCTTCCGAATGGAATTATGACGAGTGTCAACCAAAATCACTTCAAAATATTTGAATGTAGAGTCTTGGGCAACCCAGTAGCTGTTCAGCACACACAGACCACCAAGTCTTCGCCCAGTTCGTTCCTCAGCTAGAAACTGCAAGTTGCGGGTTGGCTTCAGCTGATTCACACCATGGCTCTTGGGCTTACCATATGTGGCACCCTTGGGCACTGGGAGCTTGCGACCACCACGACGAACACGAATGCGATAAATCACATAGCCAGTTTTAGCCTTGTAGCCAAGCCTACGGGCCTTCTCAGGACGAGAGGGTCTGGGAGCACGGTGTAGCTTGTTTAAGTGCCGATACTGCCAGGCACGACACGCAATAAGAAGCGCATAACATCACTCTGCTTCTTCCTGTAAATCTCCTGCATGTATTTATATGCGCCCATCTTGAAGCGGGCGAGACCCTCGACGACGTCGACTCCAGAGCATACTATTGTTGTGCACACTATGCTGTGTACACTATGCTGTTCATACTGTGTTTTGCATACTATGCTGTGCATACTATGCTGTGCATGTTATGCTGTGCACACTATGCTGTGCACACTATGCTGTTCATACTGTGTTTTGCATACTATGCTGTGCATGTTATGCTGTGCACACTATGCTGTGCACACTATGCTGTTCATACTGTGTTTTGCATACTATGCTGTGCACACTGCTGTGCACACTATGCTGTTCATACTGTTTTGCATACTATGCTGTGCATACTATGCTGTGCATGTTATGCTGTGCACACTATGCTGTGTACACTATGCTGTTCATACTGTGTTTTGCATACTATGCTGTTCATACTGTGTTTTGCATACTATGCTGTGCACACTATGCTGTGCACACTGCTGTACACACATCAGCAAAGAGGCGGGGCCAGGAGCTGTGAATCGACCCCTGCAACCACAAATAGGTGAGTACACTATGCTGTGCACACTATGCTGTGCACACTGCTGTACACACTATGCTGTGTACACTATGCTGTACACACTATGTTGTGCACACTATGCTGTGCACACTATGCTGTACACACTAGCTGTGCACACTATATGCTGTACACACTATGCTGTGCACACTATGCTGTGCACACTATGCTGTACACACTATGCTGTGCACACTATGCTGTACACACTATGCTGTGCACACTATGCTGTGCACACTATGCTGTGCACACTATGCTGTGCACACTATGCTGTACACACTATGCTGTGCACACTGCTGTACACACTATGCTGTGCACACTATGCTGTACACTATGCTGTGCACACTATGCTGTACACACTATGCTGTGCACACTATGCTGTGCACACTATGCTGTACACACTATGCTGTGCACACTATGCTGTACACACTATGCTGTGCACACTATGCTGTACACACTATGCTGTGCACACTATGCTGTACACACTATGCTGTGCACACTATGCTGTACACACTATGCTGTGCACACTATGCTGTACACACTATGCTGTGCACACTATGTTGTACACACTATGCTGTGCACACTATGCTGTACACACTATGCTGTACACACTATGCTGTACACACTATGCTGTACACACTATGCTGTACACACTATGCTGTACACACTATGCTGTGCACACTATGCTGTACACACTATGCTGTACACACTGCTGTACACACTATGCTGTGCACACTATGCTGTACACACTATGCTGTACACACTATGCTGTACACACTATGCTGTACACACTATGCTGTACACACTATGCTGTGCACACTATGCTGTACACTATGCTGTACACACTATGCTGTACACACTGCTGTACACACTATGCTGTACACACTATGCTGTGCACACTATGCTGTACACACTATGCTGTACACACTATGCTGTACACACTATGCTGTGCATAGTTTTGTAGAATTTCTTGAAATTATTATTATTATTATCAATCATTAATTACATCATCATTATCAATCATCATTATCAATCATCAATTACATCATCATTATCAATTATCAATTACATCATCATTATCAATCATCAATTACATCATCATTATCAATTATCAATTACATCATCATTATCAATCATCAATTACATCATTATCAATCATCAATTACATCATCATTATCAATCATCAATTACATCATCATTATCAATCATCAATTACATCATCATTATCAATTACATCATCATTATCAATCATCAATTACATCATCATTATCAATCATCAATTACATCATCATTATCAATCATCAACCAGACTCAGGGTATCATCATAACCCCCCACCTCCCTAATAACCCAGGAGGGGGGGTGTTCCAGGGGTCAACGCCCCCGAGGCCCGGTCCATGACCAGGCCTGGAGGTGGATCGGCTTCAAACCCCGCCCCTCCCTCCCACTTAACATTAGTAACAAGCAGTTAAGAGGGTAGTTAAGGTGGCAGGGGGAGTGTAATGACGTGGGTGAGGGAGGGTAGAGTCTCACTGACACAGTGGGCAGGGAGGTGCTCACACATACCCTGCATCTCTCTTGTTATACCCTGCTGTTATACCTTGTTGTTATACCCTACTGTTATACCCTGCTATTGTTATACCCTGCTATTGTTATACCCTACTGTCTTGTCTAGAATAAGGTAAGATATTAATTTAGCTTGTTTAATGATAGCTTAGTATATACGTCTTGATGTATGTATGTCAAGATGGGGGGGGGGGGTTGTGTGTGTGTATATATGTTGGATATATACCGAGTGGTTTCTTTAACTTAATATATGAAGGTTTCTCTTAATGTATACCGGTATATACCGAAGGGATTTCTTTAATTAACGTAATGCATTTATGTATATATCGCTGTTGTCGTACAGGGTGATGGCTCTCTTAAAGAAATTGGAACACGCATTAATAATTGGGCCTCTACCCTTCAGACCTGTTTGCCATACTCCTTGCACTGAAATTCATCAATGTATCTAAGATTGACAGTTTAATTGTAACTGATTCTGTCATCCATAAATGCTCTCAACTCGTTAAGTATAAATTGTGGCATGCTTGTGTCAGAAGCCAGACACAGGTATGGTAGGATTGTGGACAGTGGAGTCAGAGTGCACATGAGAGGGAGTAGATTACAATCTTGGGTTGTCAGTTAGCAGTTTGAGAACAATAATACGAAAAGAACTTCAAATGAACTTTATTGACTTAAGACTTAGGGAGATTGACACCAGTCAGTCCATCTATCATCATTCTATCATGCAGGAGGAGCCACATGTCTATGGTGCATCCAACAAAATAAGCAGACTGAGATTAAGACACATGTGCAACATCTGGGTATCTTTATTGTAGACGTTTCGCCATCCAGTGGCTTTATCAATACAAATTCTATTGTATTGATAAAGCCACTGGATGGCGAAACGTCTACAATAAAGATACCCAGATGTTGCACATGTCTTAATCTCATCTTGTCGGTATTATGTACCATTCGTACACAAAATAAGCAGACTCTTGGATGTCACTACCGCTCGGCTCCGGCTGGGTTACAAGTATCTTTGGCAGGTTAAATCACCACCACCAGATGTAGACCAAACGAAATGTAAACTTTGCCAGATGGATTATTGTCACACCTTGCGTCATTATGTACTGGAGTGTGATCAAATTAGCGAGTTTAGAAACAACTCGCTCAGTAATGTTCAAGAAATGGCAAAGTATTTTATCCACAGTGGTATATTGCAGACCATTCTGGAGAAATACCCTGACTTGGCTAGCTGTAAATAATGCATTACCACGTGTTTGTGTTTGTTTGTGTTTGTTTGTTTGTTTGTGTTTGTTTGTTTGTTTGTGTTTGTTTGTGTTTGTTTGTGTTTGTTTGTGTTTGTTTGTGTTTGTTTGTGTTTGTTTGTGTTTGTTTGTGTTTGTTTGTGTTTGTTGTGTTTGTTTGTGTTTGTTTGTGTTTGTTTGTGTTTGTTTGTGTTTGTTTTGTGTTTGTTTGTGTTTGTTTGTGTTTGTTTTGTTTGTTTGTGTTTGTTTGTGTTTGTTTGTGTTTGTTTGTGTTTGTTTGTGTTTGTTTGTGTTTGTTTGTGTTTGTTTGTGTTTGTTTGTGTTTGTTTGTGTTTGTTTGTGTTTGTTTGTGTGTGTTTGTGTGTGTTTGTGTGTGTTTGTGTGTGTTTGTGTGTGTGTGTGTGTGTGTGTGTGTGTGTTTGTGTGTGTTTGTGTGTGTGTTTGGTGTGTTCACTCGCCTAGTTGAGATTGCAGGGGTCGAGTCCAAGCTCGTGTTTGTGTTTGAGTGTTTGTGTTTGAGTGTGACTCGACAATCAATATTTGCACCAATAACTCATTACAGTTGTGACCGGGTGTGGAAGTGTGAATTGCTCATTACTCTATAATTTGTTCATGATTGTAGCCATGTATAAACGTAAGTAACCATTCTTAAAGAATTCATTACCTTTATACCTAGTTCAGCTATCAAAACTGAGGCCCAGTCCCTGGACCCATTATATACCTCTGTAATATTTTGACTACCTCCCACAGGATGGGTATGGGGTACATAATAAACATATTAAACTAACTATATCGGGGGGAGGGGAGAGGTTTCTTTAACGTAATACTTCGATATATACCGAGGGTGGGGGTTCTGTATCACAATATATACAGTTTAATCCCAATTTTAGGGACAAATACTAGTTATAATGGTAGAAAGCTTATCTAAAAGCCTAGTGTAGTATTAGACTAACCCTCCCCCCCATATCTCGGTACATAATGTATGTGTATTGGACAATACATTGGGTGTATCTGTGTATCAGTTAATACACAAGGGTGTATATTGTAGGGTAATGCTGTAGGTTTTCCTTCGTTAACTCGTAAGTCTAGCAATTTACCCTCTCAATTTTCTCTTGCCCAGGATGCCACCCATAAGTGTAATACCCAGCTAGTTTAAAATCTTATTTTACTCCCCATACCCATGATGTGGCCAGTGCCATCTTCCTTTTAAATAAAATTACATTATAGGAAGATTACAGTATTACTTTAAGACAACTTAAAATATTTATTACTATTTAGTAGTATTTAAAACAATGAAACTTAGGCCTCCTAATTTTGTAGTATAGTTAATCAATCCTCAATACAATGACTGAATAGCGTCTGAGTAGGTATCAGGTATAATTTGTCTGGTTAATTTTAGGTGATTTGCAGACTGGGGTACTTTAGTGTGTTCTGGCATAGCATTTTTGCATAGGGAGAGATGGCCACTAGGAATATTTAAGTGCGACTTCTATTATGGTAGTGTTCTGTTAATTATCAAGGAAGAGTTTGAAAATAGGATTTATATTTGAGCACAGTGTTGTGTTAGTAGAATACTTGTTCAAAGTTCCTTGACTAAGGATGCCATCTATAAAAGTTATACTGGAAATTATTCACTATACAAAGTATTTTAAGTTAGCTAGAGAAATGAGCATTTCAATTTCATAATGTATAGTTTTGAATTGGCCATCGCAAGCTCTTAACTATTGGGGTAACATAAGTGTTGCAAATAAAATTTGATCCAGTAATTAAATGGTAATACAAATTTCTTTGCTAAAACAGCTTTATATGTACCAAGTTGTATTTTGCACCCAGCAAGTAAACCAAAACGGTCTACATAACTTTAGTGTACCAAAGTAGATGGTTTTAATGTTTTAATTTAATGTTAGTATATAGTTTTTGCAAGTGGAGTGGGCATCAGCATACATAAGGGGAATTGCCAATAGACCCCTGGCTGTCTTCAAGCAGGCACTGGACAAGCACCTAAATTCTGTACCCTGACCAGCCAGGCTGTGGTTCGTACATTGGATTGCGTGTGGCCAGCAAGAACGGCCTGGTTAATCAGGCCCTGAACCATTAAGAGGCCTGGTCACATACCAGTTCCAGGGGGCATTGACCCCTGGAACTCTCTCCAGGTAAACTCCAGGAATTGCAATTCTGCAACCTACTGCGACTGTCCCACGTAACCTCGCTCGAATTACTTTGCACATAATTTGGGTAATACCCTGTAGACCTCTTGTAGGTAATTTCTCGTATAATTCGTAGGTGCCTTCTTGGTATTCAACTAGCGTTTTATACACTTCTGTTGCATGGTACGGTATATTCATGGGACAAACTTGTACCTGTATTTGTGTACCTGAATGCTTGTTAGGGTATATACACAGCTTGAGTGAAGTGGTAAATAAGGCTGATGGGCTAGTCGAAATATTAGCCACAAGTACAGGGAAAGTATGAAGATTTCATAGTGGTAATTAATAAATTTGTGCTGGGTTAGGAGCTTGTATACAGCTCTTGTGATTGGGTATATACAAAGCTGTTTAGGTAAGGGGTATACATGTACATAACTTTTATTGGGAGAGGTATATATACATAACTATTATGGGGGAGGGGGGATTGTATTATGGTGGGGTATATACATGTTGCAGGTAGATGTATGGCTATATTTTGAGAAATATACTTCATTTGCAGGGCTATATGGAAGAGGGATGTACACAACGCATTTGTAGAAATGCATATGCTGGCCCTTGTGGTTTAGCGCTTCTTTGATTATAATGCGTATGCTATAAATGAAATTCTTAACTTTCTCCTCCCAGTCACAAGAATGGTGCTGCCATTATGGCAGTGCCACCAGTGGTGGTGACACTACTGCTACTAACTACTTGCAGCGTAACTTTGGGAAATGTTGAAAACAGATTACCATCCCTTCCCTCACTGACTGACCTGGTATGTTAAATATTTAACATGAACTGTAATTTTTTTTTACATTAAATTGTACTACATAAAGATATTTTTAGTACTGAAGGAAGATTTTAATGAGTTACTCCCACCATTTTTAATTTCCAGCCTAATGAATGGAATTAATTTTGGAAGTTTTGACAGCTGAAATTTTATTCTTAATTGCAAGGTTCTTAAAAAAATAAAGTATAGTACTTGGTCATTGTCAGTTTAAATGTGAACATGATTATTTTGAGTAACAATTCTACAATGGTTATGCTTAGCAATGGTGTTATACTTTGCAGTTAATTATAAGCCTCTAGTGCTTATTGGTTAATCTTACCACCTAGTTACTTAAAATTTACCATAAATAACCTTTCCTGGACAGAGATCATGGCCCAAAACCACTAAATTTCTTGCTTTGAATTTCAAATACTATACTTTTAATTTGGCTTAAATATTGTATTGCCTGTAGATGTCTCTGGAAGATCATCCTCTTGAATCTCTGGCTGACCTAGATGCTCTAACCAACACAATAAGGAACCATGCACATCTACTTATATCTAAGGCCTTCTCTGCAGAGACTCGGAGATACAAGAGAGGTTTGTATTTCCAACCACAATAGGATAGTTAATGCTGCAAATGCCCAATGACATGACCTGCAAAGAAGTTACTTAAATTTTGTAATTTGGTTTGCAGCTTTGGATATAAAGTCTGTGGTTGTTACTGGTGTGCATCCATACGACTTTGACTTCGGTGCTGTTTTTGAGAGGGTGACTAGTTTGAAGCTGCTGCATGTAGAAGAAAAGATCTACTGCATGTTGGGAAGCTACAGGTTGGCATTCTTCCTTCAAAGGCTTTTAATGTTCAGTGACTATAGCAGTGTACAGTTGCCATGCATGACATTGGTTTTGAACAGCTACTGGTAAATTTTGAAGTTTGATCTCTGCCAATGCCTGATTGTCCCCCAATAAATAATGTAAGTCATGGCTTTGAATACAGGAAGTCTTTAATTAGACTAAAAGTACAGTTTAAAACTTTAAAATGCCATAACTAGCCTTTCAACTCCCATCTTTCCTTTTGTAAATAGGTGCATGCATTAACAACCAAAAGTTGAGGCTTATTTGCTATTTTGTAGCAAAAATTTTTAACTTTTTTCTCAATTTCCACAGGAATAAAAACCAAAAATAGGGTTTGATTGGTGTGGCCAAGCACAGGGAAATTAAAACAAAGAAGTTCTTTTTTTTTAATTCTTCCCCAACCTATGAAAAATTGACAAAATTGCGGGATTGCTGATATAAACATTCGGTGAATTTTGGGAATTATCCTTTAAAAAACTATTGTTACTTAAAGGCTTAAAAATTTCTTTAAATTTAATTTTCAGGAAAAAATTTCCCTTTACCAAAAAAATGGGGCCCTTTTTAAATTTTCTTCTAGGCTCACATCCATATAAAACTTTCTGTGGATGGCTTTTGGCTTTTTTCTTTGTCACAACGGGGTTTTCTAAAAAGTGGGGGGCTTTGAATCCAGAGAAGGGCCCCAGGTTGCACTCCCACAGAAATACCTGTTAATTTACGGGTTTAACCCCAAACATGTTCCAACCTTTGGGAAAAGTTTTAAACCGGGGGTTTGGGGAACATTACACTTCAAGTTCAAGCGAAAACTAAAAACAGACTCTGCGAAGTTGTCTCGAAAGCTCGGGCCCTTCCCCGACAAATTTTCCAATAATACTCCTAAAAAAAAATTTTGGAAGTTTTTAAAATGTAAATTACAATATTTTTGTTTATTTTGAAATTTTCCGGGCTGTACTTTATTAAGGGGGGAGTATTTTGTCGTGAGAGGGTCTTGGGCTCAAAAACGAAAGGTTGCAGGCTATAACGGGGGATTTGCAGACAGGGGGAACATTTCCCTTGGTTTTTGGAAATGAAAGGGTCGGGAAAATAATCCCCGACATGTTTTTAAAAGAAATTTTGCCTAGGGGCCAAAGTATTTTCTGTAAGGGTTTACACTATTAAAGTTTGCGTAATAAATCCTTTAAATTTTTAAAACTTGTAAAAAAGCACAGTTGCCGTCAAAATTTTTGATTGACGTTTTCGGGCCCCCTTTTTTTTTTTTAGGAGGGGTTGAAATTTATACAAATTTTCCCCCCCCCCTTTATTACTTCCCGGGGACTAAACCCACAACACCTGACAATGATGTCAGGGAAGTATTTCCACTTTGTAAAAAGACATTTTAAAAAAAATTATTATTTCCCCCTTTTAAGAAATGGGGGGGCCCCAAAAAAGATCTACTGGGGGACACGAAAAGTTAATTTTTAGTTGTTTTTTTCTAAACTTCTACTAAAATAAAGTTTTTAATTTTTTCTTAACTCTCCCACTCTTCAAAACCCATCCCCAAAGCCCTTCGGGCCAGAATTTGCCCAAATGCCCCTTCAAATGCCTTTTCCCACTAGAAAACCTCCCCCCTTTTTGGGGTTCAAACCCACTCCATGTTAGAACTACCTTTTTTGGGGGGCCCCTAAAATTTTGGGACTGCCTTTCAACTGGGCAATGGCTAGCTTCTTTTCCTTTTAACTTAATTTTAACTTTTTAAATGCTTTGGCCCCCTTTTTAAAAATCCTTTTTGTACAGAAAGACCCAAATGGGGCAAAGCTACTGCTGAGGACCCTCCATGATTACAACCCCCTAAAGCTGCATCTTCTTGCCCTTTCCCTCGAAACCCCCAAAAAACCCCCCCCCCCCCCCAATTGTATAGTACCAACCCCCCAACACTGATTCAATTTCCCCTTTTTTTGCACAAAAACCCGAAATTGTCAAAATTTAAAAATTTTTCCACTTTTGAGCTTAATTTGCCGGGGTTCCTAGCACACTTTCCCTTCCCTTGTATATCTTTTTCTTTAAAAAAAGTAATTTCATGATCAAAACCCTTTTGAAGAAAAAGGACAAAATTGCAACAAATTTTTTGACATTTTGGGGCAACTTTTCCCTCGGGGAAAAGCTTTACCCAAGCCATTAAAAACAATACATGGACAAGGGAAATAAAAAGGCTCAGTGGGTTTCAATACTTGAGAAAACCATTTTTGATGTTCACTAGTAAAGGGGAAAAAATTAAAACAATATGGTAAGAAATTTAATTCGTCCCTGAGTAAAAGGATATAAAAGCTTTTATTTGGGGGTAACAAAAAAAATAGGTTGGAAAAATAACTGGAAAGAGGCGGGCTTTTTTTCAGTGTACACCTCTAAATGTGCTTTGTGAAGTATAACAGGAAGATTTGTGATGGCAGGGTTTACTGTTTTCAGGAGGATTCTTGCTAAGATTTTTTGGAGATGAAGCTCCTTTTTTTTTAATTGTATTCAAAAAAACCCGAGATCATTGCTAAATTCGAGGCACTTGCGTCTGCGGAAATTAGTTTCTTTGATCACAAATTTGGGATCTCAAAAAATTTCAAAAATTTTTTGGGGAAATTTTTCGGGTTTCCACAGGCGTTGTTAAATTTTTATATTTCCCTACAGCAAAAACGTGTTCTTTGAGGGGGGGTTCCAGGTTTCTTGCGGGTTTAAACCTATGTAAATCTTGTCCCCGCCTCCACGGGGTATAGTTTTAAACTCCTGCATTGACTAGTTCGGGGTGTTTTGGAATTTGTCCCGGGTTTAAAGATCCTTTATTAAAGGTGCAAAAGGGCGATGGTGACTGGGGTGTTAGTTTGTGAAAGTACTTTTTGGAGACTGCAACCTGGCTGTTGGGAAGAATTTTAACTTTTTTTGGGGAAAGGGGGTTGTTGATGCATGGGAAAATTTTAATGATCGAAGAGCTTTTTTGCAGTTTTTGATGAAAAAAAAAAGGGAAAATTTTTAACTCGGAATGTATGTACTTTCCCCCTCGTAAAAAAAACTCCCGGACTACAAATTCGGTATCCTTAGGAAAAACCCGATGATGCCTCTTTTTGGGCTTTGGGATCTTTGACTTGGGAAAAGAAAGACCCTTTTTATTTGGGGGGTTTCCAAATTTAAATTAACTTAGGTTTTTTAAATTTGTAATGGGAAATCGAGAAAGGTTTCTTGTCATTGGACTCCCGAAAAGGGTTAAAACCCCCGCCATCGCCTAGTCCCCGACTGTTAAAAACTACACAAAACACATTAGTGAAAAACGAAACAAAACTGCCTCTTTCCAGTTATTTTGTCAACCTTTTTTGGGTTTAAAAGTAAAAGGTTTTTTATCCTTTTTCTCATGTTTCGAAAATTTAAATTTCTCTACCCAAAATTTAAAAACTTTTTTCCTACTAATAAAGCTCCCAGGGAGCGAAAAAAGGTTGCCAAAAATTTAAAAAGTCAAATTAGTTGGGACTTGTGTCCTTTTTCTTTTCATAAAGGGCCGGGAATTTTTTACCCAAAATTTAAACATGAACCCAAAAGTTGCTTCTTAAAAATTTAAAAGCTCAAACTAGGGCTTCCTAGGAAATTCAAACTCTACCATTTTTTTTGCTGCCTAATCTTTTTTTCCCCCCTTTCTTTAATTTTTTTCCCAAAAGGTTTTTTGCCACTTTTGTTAAAAAAAAAAAGGGTGTCATAATTTTTGATCTGAAACTAAAGAATCATTCACCATTTCCCCTAGTTTCATTTTTTACCTTGATTAGTGTATGACGGCCTCTTTTTTTCCCCCCAAATGAAAGCCAGACTTTCCTACTGTATTTTAAAATCAGGAATTTCCCCCCAAAAATTAAAACTACCAGTTTTCAATAAAGGAATATAAAAAAGTCCCTTTAGGAATGAAAACCCTTTATTTAAATTTAAATTTAAACTAAAAAAGTTTAGATTTTGGGAAAAGGGTAGAGGAAGGTAATTTGGGTTTTTGGAAATAGGGTAGTTTTACGAATGGAACATTGGGCCTATAGGGTTAATCAAAAACTAAAACCTTGGGTAGGTTTTTAAAAAATTTTGGTTGGGTAAAAAAGTGAGAGGGGTTGTATTTGGGGTGGGACTTTTGAAATTTTGGGGGGAAAAAATTTTTTTTTTTTCAAAAATCGGGGAAATTCTCCCACAGAGGGAGGGGAAACCCCAAAAAAAAAAACCCCAAAAAAAAAAAAACTTGAAACATTTAACACTTTTTACCCCTAAAAACATTATCACGTTCTTGCCGAGGTGCTTAAAATACAACATTTGAAGCATAAACTATAAAAAACACAACATATCCCTCCAAAAATGGGGGGGAAATACCCCAAAACCCCCCCTTATTTCCCCTTTGGGGGCATTGAAAACTGGGTTTGGGGAAAAAAATTTTTTTGATGGGAAAGGTTTGTGAAGGACCTCCCAAAAATGGGGCCAAAAAGGCCTGTTGCATTTTTCCTCCTTTCTTGTTTTTTTTAGGTTTTCCCCCCCCCCCCCCCATAATTTAAAGCTAAAATTCTTTTGGGCCCCTTTACTTGGCAAAGCCATTTTTAAAAAGTTATAATTTCTTTTGGGGGTTTTTCTTTTTCCCTTTTTTTTCTAAACTTTTCAGGAAAAGGTTACTAGCCCCTTTGTTCCCGGGATTTTAAATTGACCCTTTCAACACGCAAGGCTTTCGAAGGAAATATTCTTTTTCCACTTCCCCATGGATATAAAAGGAAAAATAATAAGTTTCCCAAAAACAAATTTAAAATAAAAAACAAAACCGGGCAAGTGTTAAAAATAAACGTGTAAAGGGAGTGACCCAAAATGAAGAATAGCAAGACATTTCCTGTAATCTTTTTTATAATTTTAACAGAGGACACCAGCAATCCTACCATGTAAAAAAAAAAAAAAAAAAAAAAAAAAAAAAAAAAAAAAAAAATTTCAGGCTTGGGTTTTCCACCACTTGGAGACGTAGTACCTCCATGGGGTTTTTGCCCGGGCTACAAACCTACTACGTACCCCATAAAAATTGTTAATCTCCAGGGTTTGTTACCTGGCCCTCGCAATGAGTGGCCCCACTCATTGCTGGGGAAAAGGCAAAACCCGGGTTTTTTATAGGGCCCAAAATTTTTCCGGGAAAGGGGAAATACAATGCCCGCCCCCTAAAGGAGGGGTTCGGGGGTATTACAGTTTTTTAGGGAATTTTTTGTTTTATCTTTTTTACGTATATCTTTTTAAAATTTTTAACCCTCTCTGCAAAAAGTGATAGTGAGGTAAGTTTTTTGAATAAAAGAAAGTTTTTTCTTGTTTGGGGATTTTTTTTTTTTTTTTGGGGCACCCCGGGGCCTTTGGTGGGGGGTTTTTAACTTTGGGGGGGGGGGGGGGGGGGAAAAGGGAATTTTTTTATTTAAAGTATACATAATCATAACCCTTTTGTTTTTACTAATTTCCCTACCATTTTTCAAATTTAATGTAAAAAACTTTTTTTGTATGACAAAACTCTTAACAAAAAATTTGTTTGGAAATGTTTCTTGCCCCAAAAATTTTCTTTTCCCCCTCCTCCCCCCCTTTTTTTTTTTTTTTTTTTTTTTTTTTTTTTTTTACACAGGGTTTTGACAAGGGTTTAAGGTTTCCCCCCCTTTATTGGAAAGCTAAGAGCTTTTACCTACATCACTCCCTTTTAAAAAACATTTTTTTTATGAGACAAAAATAGGAAACAGGAGGGAAATTGGGGGCCATTTTGTGGGCCCGCATTTTTTATTTGATCAACTGACTTTAAAACCCCGTTTACATCATTATCCCCGTACAATGTGTTTTCCATACTAGAGGGCAACCCCGGGGTTTATTTTCTCAAATGGAGTGATGTTCTGGAGAAGGGGGACAGGGCCCAAAATGAAAAAATTTTCTGCTTTCCCGCCCGTCTTGTGGGGTTTAAAAACTTGATTCCAAACACCCCCCGCTGTCCTCAAAGTGGATCCAAAAATGGGGTATTTTGACCCCCCCTTGGGCCCTTAAAACATAACATAAAGGGCCCCCCACAAACCCTCCCCTATGTTGAAGGGTCTGCTGAAAACAGAAACCCACCAAGAAAGGGCCGGGCCCAGAGATGAGAAGTCCCTTGCTCTGTTCCTACTGGCCAAAGCAGTTTTTAGATGAAGGGGGGGCAAAACAAACCAAGAAAGTGGAGAAAACTCAAGGGGGTGAGCGTACTTTTGCCTCGTTTCAGGGGTCTTGCAAAACCCCTACTGTCAAGCAGATGGGGAATTTCGGCGAAGTGCTGTAAAAATTCCTGGCTTCCCTTTTTTCAAGGTTTACAATTTTTGGTTTTGGGGGGGTTTAGTCAAATTTTCACCCCCAAGGAAAAAACCCCAAATTTTTTCCAGGTGGCCAACACCTCCCATTCATCCTTACCCAAAAGCAAAACCCCAACAACCATCATGGTGCCTAGAGACTATCATCATTTGCATTTTCTCAGGTGCAAATGTTACTTGCCATCTATTTCCCCAAGCTGATATAGCTCTCAGCTGGTGATTGATGTAGCTTACAGCAGCTGGCATTTCTTCTCTTGGATAAGTGAATGTCAGTGTACAGTAGTCTGCATATGCATGTGATTCTGGGATGAGATGAAGGTCGTTGAAGTAGACATTCCATAACAATGGACCCAGCACGCTTCCTTGTGGAACACTTGCCCCAATAGGATGTCTTGCTGATTCCGTTCCATTGAGAACTACACTTGGATATCTACCATGAAGGTAGTCACTGAGGAGACATAGCATAGAGCCTGCAATTCCCAGTGCTTGAAGTTTTGCCAAGAGGCCCTGGTGCCACACCCGGTCGAAAGTGCCAGCAATGTCCAGTGCTACCACACAGCTGACTTTGGATTCATCCAGTGACTGGTGCCACTTAGTGGAGAGGTTTAACGGATCAGCAGCAGAGTAACCTTTCCTGAAGCCATATTGACGATCACAAAGTAGAGTGGTAGTCAAAAAACTGTCATTTGTCTTGATTATTGTCTCGAGGATTTTACCAGTGATTGACAGGAGTGACACTAGTCTGTAGTTGCTGATTTCTGCTCTGCTCTTTTTGTGAACAGGGACTACATTTGCCTCTTTCCATAGAGGGCCATTTACACTGTACTAGGCAGTGCTGAAAGATGCGAGTTAGAGGTGCTGCTAGCTGGTCTGCACATCTTCTCAACAATCTTGGTCTCAACTTGTCTGGGCCCACAGCCTTTTCTTGGTCAAGCGATTTAAGTAGGAAATGCACCTCCTCCTGCCTTATTGTCACCACTGACAGTTTTGACAGTTCTTTCAGCTAGCCAAGGAGGGTCCCTTGCTGGATCAGGAACTTTCATTTTGGTAGCAAAGAGGTCCGCCTTCTCTTGACTACTAGTAGAGGTGGTCCCATCCTGTCGATTTAGAGGTGGAATAAGTTCATCAGGCAGATAACCTTGTCTGTCCTTGACCAGGGACCACCAGATTTTGGAGCCTACCCTACCTGATGCTAACTTTTAGTGTCCACCTCCCATTTAGCAATGGCCCACTTTTGAACATCACCCATATGCCTACAGGCTTGCATGTGCAAGTTCCTGTTGTAGGATGTCTCTTATACCTTCGCCATGCTTTGTACTTAGCAGTCGCACCCTCTACAACGAAAGCCAAACCAAGGCTGATCTTAGGCTTCGCCCATCCGTGGGAATGTGTTTTTGTTGTAGATTAAGATTCCCGTGAAGGTTTTACTGGTTTTCCCACCCCTTGGAGAAGAGCATTTCCCGTCCGGGGGTGGCGACTCAAGCAAAGGGGTGGCCCAATTACCTTTTCCCCCAAACCAGGTGTGCGGGGACTCCCGCCTCGTTTGTTTTGGGTCTTAATTTTGGGGGAAAAACAGCCTTGGGTTCAACGATCCAAAGACCGAGGGGGGTTGACAAGTGACGCCTTCTGCCAAAATCACTCACTAGGGTCAGGAGGGGCCAAGATAGATGGAAACAACAAAGTTTTTTCATGTCAAACACTGCAAGAAGGTATCAAAGTCCCTCTGTAAAGGTGTGGTTGAGGCACCCAAAAATTATTATGTTGACAGTTGTGTTTAGCAAAGGGGGGCAATATTTTCCATTTGGAAATTATAGGGTCTCAGTTGGCACTGAGGGTTTCATTGCCATGTAGACAGAGGTTTCTGTTTTATACGAGCTTTAAAAATTTCAAGATGTGAGGGGGGGCAACATCAATTGCGGGCATTAAAACTTTTTAAAAAGCACACAGCAACACCTCTTTGCCCTTGCCTGTCTTCTCATCCATGAGGTGTAGCCAGCAATTCTTGCAAAATTTTCTGGTTCTGTCATCCAAAATAGTTTCAATAGCTATCATGTCGGGACGTAGTGTTCACAAAGCTATGCGTGAGCTCTCCAACATTAGTAATGAAACCTCTAATGTTGGCCGACAGGATGCTGATAGACTGGCTCCTCATGAAGTGGTCAGCTTGAGGTGGTGGGTGTGTAGGGAATGTAAGGTGCCTGCCCTTGAGAGAGGTAGGGTACTGAGGCAGCTGCAGGGATGTAGGTTTCTGGTCTTGTATAAGGCACAATCCCACCTGCTGGGCTGGGATAGGAGTAGCTAAGTGGGTGACGTGCGAGTGTGTTCACCAATTCGGAGATCCTGCTGGTTTGTTCTGAGAATAGGTCTCTAAACAGGTGGCCCTATCTGTCAAGTTCCTTTTTCTTCCGACACTGGTTCTCCTTGTAGCAGTAATTACACCTGGTATCTCGCAGGCAGTTGTTGGCAGTGCCCCTTCCGGTGACAGCGAGAGCACAGCCTAGGTGCCTGGGAGGGTGGACTAGGATTTGTTGCCCCTCCTGTGTTTTGCAGATTTGTCCTCAGATTCTGCCGCTGGAACTGTTAGTGGAGGGTGAGACTGCTGTAGATGTCTTCCTCCTCCACGTCCTCTGCCCCGTCCTCTACCAGTTCTGACAGATGTGTCCCTGCTGTTCGTACTTCGGTGCAGTAGGTGATCAGGTGCAGTGATAGTTCCCTGATCATTAACTGCACCGTTCTCTGGTGGAGAAACTCCTGGCTCAGAACTTGCTGACGAAGCACTGCTACCAGATTCTAGAATAGTATCGGCAGGTGTGCTGACAGGTGTAGGATCAGAGATGGGCATGTGCACTGTCAAGTAGACTGGCAGTGGCTGAAGCAGAGATGTCAGGTGTAGGAGAAATAACAAATCCAAGGCTTCCCTTGTTGCTGGGAAGAGGATTTGTTCCCTCTGTGGTGGTCAGAGTTGTTGTTAGAATTCCCAAAGGTAGTGTTTTGAACTGTCAGTCTGTGGGACCTTAGCGATGACAGAATTCCACCAGTTGTTTACCTACCTCTCTCTCTCTCTCTCTCTCTCTCTCTTTTTTTTTTTTCTTTTTCTCTTTTTCTCTTTTTTTTTTCTCTTAACTGTAGTAATATTTTCTTTGCAGGAGAACAACTACAAGAGTGGCAGAGCTTGCAATCAAAGCCAATGGACCATACCTGCTCAATTGGAATTCAATTTCTTGATAACTTGGAGAATATAATCTTCATTTCACATGGGGTCTGTACTCTTCCAAAAATTTTGGCTTTCCTAAATTCAGTAAAAACTTTTGTAATTTGCTTGATCATCCTCTACGAAATAAAATTATGCCTTGTATTGTATTAGTTCTCTGAACTTGAGTTTAGAGATTAACAGCATAATTTTATGCACTGGTTGGAATAACCTGGCAATTAAAGCTCTTGTACAATCCTTCAAAGCCTGTTGCAGATGAACCTGCCACTGTTGCAAGCTTTAAAGTTTAACTTTTCTAAATTCGTATGTAGCAGTATTTTGTACATTAAATAAAGAACATTACTTAACTGTTCAGATTGAAAGCTTGTCTACATATTGGTTTGTACAGTGCACTGAAAGTACTCTATTAGACTAAGAAGGAATGTTACACTATGGTCCCTTAACCTTTATATTTTTGCAATTATACCTGCTTTCATAAACTAGTACCATTTTTAAGGAGCGATTCATTCTGTATTCATAATTTGCCTGAACTTCTAAACCACTGTTCCAGTTGCTAAGTTGAGCCAAATTAACTAATTGCAATTGATTTTTCTTCCCACTATCTGATCCAGCATGGAAGCACAAATTTAAAGAATTTACTTTCTCAATCAGTACTTCAGCATTTTTGCTCTACTCCCATTTTTGCCATGCAGTATTACACTAATTTCTTAAATGTTCTTGTATTGATGAATACATTTTAATGCAACTTTTCTTATAAAAGCAATGGGTTTTATGGCATAAATTATAGTATGATTGGAAGTACAGTACGTATACCATACTACCTATTTCAGCTTATAAAAATTTGTGCATGTAGACTTAATATTTTGATATTTAAGCTTCGTACCATTATTGCTGCTACAGATTAATATCCTATTTCTTTTCTAGTCTGACGTCACATTCTACAGTGACGATATGTCTGCTCACTACTATCCTACCTTCACGTTAAAAACTACTTGCACCACCATTTCTGATCTCCATGGCATGAAGATGGTTGAAGACTACATCGTACTTTACACATGTCACAATGCTCCGAGTGGCAGAGTAACTGTTGAAGCAATGCAGATAATATTCCACAATGTAGACTTGGGTAAGGAAAGACTTAAATACAGCTTAATTTACATGCATTCAGTTAATTGGAAGGTGCATAGAATTGGGTGAAGGACTGTGGATCCCTGTTACTCAGTTTCCTCAAATCAAACTAGAATATCTTTCCCTAGTACCCCGTGGCCTGACTGGCAAAGCTCTCGCTTTGCACATGGAGGGCCCAGGTTGATTCCTGGCGGGGTTGAAACTTTTCAATATCTTTCCTTGCCCCTGTCATCCTGTTCAACTAGCAGCAAAGTACCTGGGTGTTAGCCGACTGGTGTGGGTTGTCCTGGGGGACAAGATTGAAGACTCCAATGGAAAAGTCCTCAATGACACTGCCTTTCTTGGATTATCTAGGGTGACTAACCCTCTGGGGGTTTAAAATCCAAATTAAATCTTATCTTGGACCCCATAAATGTTAAGCTCTTTCCCATGTAAGATAAGAATAATTTCTAAGCTATTTTATTGCCTCAGCTGAATCAGATGAGACAGCAGACACTCTTCTCCAGTGCCTTGATGACCTGAGTGATGCTCTGGAGAGTAGGAAGGGCAATATAACCTACATAGACGATGTCATTTCATCAAATTCCTTGATGACCTTTGATAATCCCCAGGTGAGTTAAATTTGCTTAAATTTTAATCTTTATTCCCTTCAAGGGAGATGCCTTGATGTTGAAGGGCTCTGATCTAGAATTGGAGGGTGCTTCCATCATAGTATAACATTCAACTACCTCCCTGTTCATGAATACTTGAGCCCCCCTCCCCCTCCTACCTTCACCATGTTGGCCACTAGTTATCATTGCGGAATTTTGTAAAAGAATAGGATGTCCTCTCCTTGGATCAAACCAGACTGCCTCATTCCTTAGGTGCTACAAAAGCACTATGAATTAAGAATTTTGTTCCTATTCTCTCCCCCCCCCCCAGGAGTCACATAAAGGGGGGGGGGCTGCCCCAGGTGACTCCATTTACGGGGTGACACCGGAGCCTCTAAAGGTTGTACCAATAATGCCCAAAACAGTGCTGCACCAACATGAGAAGCCTTTTTCTATATACCCAATTATATATTAAAGTAAAGTTAACCCTATATAGGTAAAATCATATATTTTGATAATGCGATTGATTTTATATAATTGAAGGCAAGGAAATGTAAGATCAGAGATGGTATCTGTACTAGAGGTCAAATCGGAAGTGTTGCTCTGATATTGCAATGGTTTTTTTTAATTTTTGTTTTGGCATTGAGGATGAATAAATGTAGGATCTGTTGCCTGTACTGAAAGTGGCATTAGTTTTTCCTAAATATTACTATGCTTATTTTATCATTAATAAAGTTGAAGTATTCTCCAGTTCAGTTTATGGCCCTTTAAACATTCTCATTGCTAAACATTTGTTGCTGGTCATGCAGTAGTGACATAATGGAAGTTTACTCCCCCCCCCCCTTGAATTTCATGGGGGTGACACCAGACATTCCACCCCAGGTGACACCAACTCTAGCAACACCTGCTCCCCACACTCCCCCTTTCCTTTTGTCTGCAGTTTCTCACAGGTAGGGTGACCCAAAAAGGAACTTCGATCATTCAACACTTTCACTATCACTCGTACCATCTTTGCAGAGGCACTTGGATACAACAATGTAGATGTCCCTCCAAACTGCCAATGTTGCAAGCCCCCACCCCCCTTCCTCAAAGTGCAGGCATTGTACTTTCCATTTCCAGGGCTAGTCTGGCTAACTGGTTTCCCTAAATCCCTTCACAAAATATTACCCTGCTCACTAATCAGGTCCCAAAAACCATTAATCTCCATTCACTCCTAACACTTGTGCATGATTGCTGGAAATAAAAGCCCATAAAACCTTTACCCTCCCCTCTCCCCCTCCAACCTTTTTGGGGGACAACCCCCTCCCCTACCCCACCTTCCTTCCCCTGCAGATTTGTATGCTGTCATTCTACTTTGTTAAATTCTCTAAATGCCCAAACTACCTCAACATCCCCCTCTAATACTTTTAGCAACTCCATGCCTCTTAATTTCCACGCTACATATTCTCTGCATAACATTTACACCACCCATTGTCCTGTCTAAGGGCACCTCACTGCCCCATTTACAACCCGTGCTTCAAACCCAATGTTGGTACCACTGTATACTCGTACCTTACCTTTGCCTCCATGGATAACTATTTTTGCCTCCAGGTACCTCGATGCACCAGTCGCCTTTTTTCCTTCATCGCTTTTATGGTTAACCTTGTCCTTCATAAACCAGTCTGCTGACGTGTAAACTCCCAAATATCAGAAAGCATTTTCTTCCATGCTCCCTCCCATTGTGATATCAAGTTTCTTAATTGTTTGATGCCCTCATTCACTTTCAACTTCCTACCTTTTACATGCCCTCTTATGTTTAATTGATAATTATTATTGTGCATAATTTATCCTATTTTCACTGATGGGAACCACTTTAAGCCACCTTAGGCTTTGAACTGCCAGCTTTTCTACTTCTACACTTTGCAGCCATTATTAGACAAAATTAGGAGGTATTTTTGGACCATAATCAACTGTGGATAAGCTGCAGGTGCTGAATTAGTGACTACAGGGATTGTATACATTTCTCAGACCTGGATGGGACCAGTGGTGTTTGCCAAGGGTTTGACTGTGACTGGTACAACACACTTCACACAGACGCTAGATGTTAAAGCCTCTGAGGATGAAATCCGCTTGTCGCAGTTTGCTTCACTTGTTGGTAGCCTGCAGGTATGGATTGAAAGATAAATTAATGAAAAATGTGTAAAACCGATTCTTAAATGTACTGGTTTTTTTTTTTTTTCCAATTCTGCAGAATGATGTGAATGCCTTAATTGAAGAATCTGAGGGAATACTCTACTTCACTGGTGATCAGAATCTGACAGGCCCCATCATTGCTTCTACCATAACTGCTAATGAAGCATCTTTTAATGTTTTAAAAATACAAAATGTAAGTCCTTTATAGTAAGTAGATAATTTTGTCCTATTAAACTTGTGCTGTTGGTTTAAAAGAATGCATCTTGCATCCCATACTCGTATTATGGGTGGCAGGGTATAACTAAGGTTAGTTTTTAATGGGCTTGTACAAATGCTATTTGGCTGTAGCTTAAAGCAAATCTAATAGGTATAAGTTTATCAGCACAATAATTTTTTTAGTGATACTGTACTGCAATATAAAGTTTAAATTTTAGTTCTGCCACTTGGCCTGAGACCTTAGCAAGTCAGTCTTGCTTCATCCCTGCATCAGTGCAAATAAAAATGAAAACTACAGGATTGTTCAGTGTGGGCCTTTTTATAGGCACATTCCTATAATTTAATGCAGTCTTACTGTTTATGTACGTAGTACTTGCGTTCTACTGAAAAAAAACAAAAAAACTTGTGGCACTCTTACCTAGGTAGGGTAACCCTAGGGAACTGGACTTGCCATTCGTCAAATCCAAATCTTGTTGAAATTGCCTGTGGACAGCAACATAACATTCATCCCTCACCCCCCCCCCCCCCCACACCACCACCACCACCACCACCACCACCACCACCACCACCATCATCATCAGTAGTGCAGGCATAGCCCTTCCCATATAAAAGGAGAAAAAAAAAATTGGGAAAACCTGAATCCTTGCTCAAATATTTCTCAAAGGTAATTTAAAAACTACTTGTGCCTTCAGCAGCACAAGCCTGCTAGATGCTAACAGCCCTATTGGAAATGCTATTGTGCCATCAGAAAACTTTTTTTACTGAATAAGTGGGGAAAAGTTCTTACTCCATGTAAATAGGCTCCAAATGCATTAATCCACTTCTGTTTATTGGCAACAGATTCAGGGTACTGAATATTACTTTCCCTGAATTATCATTGGTAAGTTGGGGCACTACTGTATTGACTTTCAAACTAGTTTGTAAAATGCTGTGCATAAAAGGCTTTTCCAAATTTATGAAATTTCTTTTAAAAATGTTTGGAACTAGGGAGATGACCCATCCCCCTTCAAGGGGATTGGGAAGGATTAATGGTCTGTCCAATTGACTAGCTTTGACCCATAGTGTCAAACATTCTACACTTACAGTATTTGGTGCTATATAACCTAGGTTTACTTTTCTTGTAATTAGTCCCAGTGACACTATTGAAAAATAAGTTTTAGGCATTTTGGAATTTTGCCTTCAGTGTAGTGATGTGGAAAATTTAAATACCATATATAATTTTTTTTTTTTTTTTTTTAGATAAATGGTATTCCTTTGTTGGATTTGGAGAAAAGGTTCCTAATAAGTGGGATTGATCAAATCATTGAAACTAGCGTAATTGCAAGTTCCTTGACAGTGGATTTATTCACAACACGCAGCCCATCACTCGTGGGAACCATCAATGGTTTCTTGACTACAGGTAAGTTAATATTAGATCATTTACCCCAGTTGCATGTCTGGTAAGAGATTGGTTTCTCCCACACTTGGATTAAGCATTTTCCAATTTGGAGATTTTATTTTTAAATACTGGTGGAGACAAACCCAAAATTAGAATAGTCTGAATTTTTTTGGTTTCTGTACTAGTTTAAATTGTATCAGTGATATGAATACCTCAAAGTGCATTGTAAAAGCTACTTGACGTGGTGGACTAGTCATGGCAGCATATGAATTTTCTCGCTGAAGCAGGATGACCACCCCCCCCCCCCAAAAAAAAATGCAGTTTCTTCTTGCATAATTTATACAGATTGCTAGTACAGTGGTAACCAGTTTTGGCCCCCTCCCAACTTGAACAGTTGTGCAAAAAGTGATTATGAGAGTTGAATGATGAAAGTATTTTCTTTTGGGATTTTCTTTTTGGGTCACCCTGCCTTGGTGGGAGATGGCCGACTTGTTAGGGAGGAGAGAGAGAGAGGGGGGGGGGGGAAATTGTGGCCGTGTATTTTTTGGGGGTCTAAAACAACTAATCTAATTGTTCCTTATGGGAACAAATTCATTTGGTAATGGCACTCGAACAGCCTTCTGGAATGAATTATGGCCAAAACTCTGGGTTCCACTGTCCCTTGCTTCCAGCCTTTCTCTTGCACCTAGTATGTAATTGCAACCATAGACAAGTAAGCTTTTTGACTAAAGCAAGTTTTTTTTTTTTTCCTCCCCCCTTCCCCCAGATTTAATGCGTAAAAGTTTGGGTGACCAAGTTGTAACAGGTGAGCACACGTACAACACTGTAGTGTGTGGTGGAATTACAAACATGGATGGCAACATAGACTGGCTCTCCATCAATGGGATACACTCTTCAGCCATAGTCACGGAGGGTTCTGATGTGACATTCACAGACAAGAAAAAGTTTAATTCGTTGACAGTTACTGGGCAAATAAATGCAAGATTAATAAATGATGTAAGTACTGTAATCTGATAGTAGAGAAAGATGCTAAAAGTTTGAAATGGTGACTACTGTGGTATTGCTAATGCTTGTCAAGAATCTTAAATTGAAATACCTTCCCAGGTGGATGTTAGTGACCTGGCTAGCAAAGTAATATACATGGACGTGATGCACACGCAAACACTGACTGGCTCGTATTCTTTGGCCTATGTTAAAGTGGATGGCAATGTGGATGTAGCTACCATTAATAATATAAACTTCAGAGAATTGGCCGCTTCCGTTGTAAAAACTACTGGAGATTATGCCTTGGAAGGTATGTATTTCAGTGTATAGTAAAGACCATGATATTAAATCTTGCACAGAAATATTTATGTACTATAAAAAAAATTCTCTTGTCCCAGGTCCCATAAAATACATGGAAAGTGTGACTGTAACTGGAGATTTGGATACTGCCTCCATCAATGGTGTGGAGTGGAGAGACATTGTGGATTTGGAGTCTGGAGATCTCATCAGTGGCAAATTCTATATTGCTAAAGGATTTGTTTCTGAGGTCATCAGATGTGACAGTATCAATGAACTGGATTTAAGTAATGATGTGGTGCTCACTCATACCATGCAAACAATTTATGGCAAGTATAAAATTTGTTATTCTTTGCTGATGAAACTGTGCTTATGAGAGTTTGCAAAGAGAAGTTGCAAAGGTTAGTGGAAGAATTTGGTAAGATGCATAAAGGTAGAAAGTTGAAAGTAAACAGACAAGAGTAAGGTGATGAGGGTGTCAAAAGATTTTGATAAACTGGACATCACATTGGAGAGAGGGAGTATGGAAGAAGTTTTTTCAGATGTATTGGAGTTTACTTGTCAGCATTTAGGTTTATGAAGGATGAGGTTAATCATAGAAATGATGAAGGAAAGTGGTGTATTGAGGTATCTGGAGAGGGGGGGGGGGGAAATCTATGGAGGCAAAGAAAGGACTGTATGAAAGTAGTGGTACCAACACTTGTATAGGTGTGAAGCTTGGGTTGTAAATGCTGCAGCAAGGAGGCAGTGATGTCCTGTGTAAGGGCAATGTGTAGTTTAAATATGCAGAAAATTTGTAGTGGAAATTAGGTAGTGGTAGTTACTAAAAGTATGTCAGGGCTGAAGAGGGGTTCCAGTTATCTGGTCATTTAGAGAATCTATTAAAGTAGAGACTTGCAGAGCATATAAATCTGTATGGGAAGGAAGGACTGGTAGGTTGTCCTTGAAAAGGTTGGAGGGAGGAGTAAAGGTTTTGCCAGAGAAGGGCTTGGTCTTCTAGCAAGTCTTTGCATGTCTAATAGTTTTTGGGGGACCTGATGATCTGTTGGAGTGAGCAGGGTAATATTTAGTGAAGGGATTTAAGGAAACCGGTTAGATGGACTAGTCCTGGAAATGGTAAGTAAATGTACAATACCTGCACTTTAAGAGGTTTGGTATATTGGCAGTTTGGAGGGACTTTAAACTATCATAAGTGCCTCTGCAAAGACTGCAAGTGGGGCGAGTGTTAATTGATCAGTATTTTCTCTTTGGACTTTCTTTTTGGGTCACCCTGCCTCGGTGGGAGACAGCACTTGGTGGGGGGGGGGGGGTGGAGAGAGAAAGAAGTTAACTTTAATTTAGTTTACCAAATTGTTTGCCCCCCCCCCCCCCAAGTTTAATGCAGATTAACCTTCTCAAAATGCTTGCCTCAATCAAGTTATCTTTATTTGGCTAAATTTTTATAAGTATAATCTTCAATACTTGGTTTAAAGAAAAAAAAGTTTGAAGCTTGATATTAGTCAAAATGCCCCTAAAGACTGAAACATCCCCCACCTTTCCTCCTACTTTATATACAAAATTTTTTAGGCAGTTCCTTGAAACATTAGCACCATCATGGCTTAGGTTTTTGTACATTTCTTAAATTTTGCTGGTGCTACAGTGGGGAACTTAAATTGGCTAGCAATACAACAGTTTGTGTAGCACTTAGCATGCATTATAAAAGGTATATTTTCCTTGGTTTAAGTTCTTGGCATCTTCAGCTAGACTCTTCCAAATTGCTACCTTTTGTATGGTCATACTTTAGTATAATCTTTCCTATTTGTTGCAACTCCAAATTGTTCTTTTACATAGTATGCAACTTGTGTATCAGTAAATGTATTGATACTGTTAAGTAGGATTTTTTTTTTTGTATTTGAAGAAATTACTCTAAAGGCAGGTTTAAAACGATTAGTTATTTTCGATCAACACCCACAGATTCCACAAGCTTTGCTACTGCTAAAGTAGCAGTTGCATGCAACAGCTTTCCCTGGTTTTGGAACGTCAGTTCTAATAGGTTTACCAAAGACTTGCTATCAGAATTATCTTTTAGTGTGAATAAAATTTAGTAAGGACTGGCTTTTTCCTTAATTTTTTGCAAGTCTTATATAAATGCTTGCACTCTGCTGCAAGGCAAAATTTTTAATTAAAATATTTTTGGCTCTGACTGGTATTCGGTTTGTTTACCTATAGTTTAGTTTAATAAGACACGATACATAGTTGTAAAAGGAATTAGTTGGGTGTACATGCCCAAAGCCCCTTGTATGCAGAGCATTATGGGCAGGCTTAAAATTTAAGATTAATTAAGCTATCACTCTTGATATTTTATGGTTGCATTTAAGATTGTGCTTGTGACTTGGAAAGAGGCACTAATTTATAATGCTTAATTATGAATATACCACTTGGTGCTTGGGTCTGAGAAAGTAATTTCACCCCCCCTCCCCCCCATATTCCTTAGCCATCTTGCAGGTACTAGTGCCTCATTTTCTGGGCAGACAATTGTGGAGCACATTTTAAACTTCTGCCCACAACTTGTTACTTTTCACTTGGGTGTAGTGTTTTTTTTTTTTTTTTTTTTTTTTTTTTTTTTTTTTTTTTTTTTTTTTTGTGCACATGCATTTTAAGGGATGTGATACTGTGTGATGCTGGTTATTGTAATGGTGTTGTACCTTCATGCAAAGTTTTAATTTTAAGGCTCATACATTTTATAACTTTCTTTACTGCAGTGCAGTGATTTACTTGCTATAAGTACACTGTACTAGTCTCCAAACTTCAATGGTTATTGGACATTCTAGTAACCTATTGCATTTCTGGGAGACCTGCACTGTTGGTTACTATATTTAACTATGTACATACTTTCAGGGCGCATCACCTTTGATAGTGATGTGTACGTGACTGGAGCTGCTGGAGTGGTGATGGATAATGATGCTACCATTAACAACATTGACCCATCTAGCCTGAAGATAGATGTATCTACTCTGGGTGTTCTAGTTGTAGAGGATGCAGTTAACTTCAGTGTCCCTCTTACTGTAAGTCCATTTCTTACTATGTCCCCCCCCCCCTTTTTTTTTTTCTGGAAACACGACCAAATTTCATTAAACTTTGCAAACAAGACTTCCTTTTATTAAGTAGTAATATTTAGTTTCCGGATTTAACACCGGACCCTTTCAGGGCCCAAGAATGGAGGGGGGGGAATTGAGAATCTTAACTAGAGTAATAAGTACAAAATTTAATGGGAAATTGACAATTGCACTTGCTAATTTTACTGAATCAGCAATACTTATGCATAGGCAGTTTTACCCAGTTTGATGCCTATTTTAGGCCAATTAAATTAGTTCAGTTGACCAAAATCTTGGTTTTTCAATAGTATTACTTCTATTTTGAGCACAAATTGCCCATTTAACTATTTAAACAGTGATCAGAAGTTGGTATCTTGCCAATTTCAGTTCAAATATTTCAGTAAGGTCTAGAATAAACAATGCAGACATTCCTGGAAATATTTCCAGTTTATAAAAGTTTCCAAAGCTTTATATTAACATTTTTTTTATTTGCCAAAAATGTTATGCAAGATTGTAATGTATAAATATCTGGACTCGTGAATGTGTATTACACCCACCAGTTGTGTATTGGACAAAAGACTTGGTTTGTTTGCTCTTGAAAATTGGCGAAAAATTTAACATTTCCACTATGAGCTCAATTTAAAGCTATTTCAAGTATTAACCCTTTCAGGGTCGAGAGGCCCTCTTAAAACTGTTCTCATGGTCATAAAAAAAAAATTTCAAAAATTTTTGAAGTGATAATCTTTTCCCAATCATGACACCAAAGGTATGGAATTTGAAAACTTGCGGAATTATGCTTTCGCGAAGTTAGCGATCTCGGCAATGGTTTACGCATCGGTGATTTCACCCACTTTGAGCCCTATTTTTGGCCAATTCCAGTGTACTAGTCGACAAATTAAAACTTTCGCTAAACTCCATTTTTTTCTGTCTAAGTAAAAGACCCACCAATTTAAACTATCGAATAGTGGTCAAATTGGCAATTTTGCCAATTTCTGGCAATTTTGCAAATTCCACAAATTTAAAGATGCCAGTTTCAAAATAGGGTCCAGAATAAGACATTCCTGGCACTAAAATATTTCCTGTTAATTACTAATGTCCCCAGTCCCCTCTTAAATTTCTCTTCCTTTCCACTAAGAATTTTTATTACAAAAAATAGATTTAATGTTATGCAGACTACTGCATTAGTGTAAAAATGGTATAAATATCGGCGCACTTGTGAAAGACTGTTACTCGCCAGCTGAAGTGTACTGGATGCATGGCATGATTTGTTTACTTTAGAACTTTGGCAAAAATCGAACATTTCTGCTACTTTCTCATTTTCAAGGTACTTTTCATTCTGAAACCAATCAGAATAGTCTGTTTCTTTTAACGTCTTCCATTCTATGAAAGGAGACCAGGAAAACTAGAATACAACCATAAACCCCATACAAAAATAGTGCAAAGTTGCTGTTTTAAGCTTTTTTTTTCTCGTTATGCACTATGCTGCAGGATTTTTTATATTGCACACTGACCAGACCCATTCTTTCATATAGGCCTACTAGCTTTCTCTTGCTAAATTTGAATGCGCTAGAATTTAAGAGTACTAGTACGTCAATAACCCTGGTGCGTAAAACATACTAGTACGTCGGAGACCCTGAAAGGGTTGAAACCAGTCTATAATCTTTCTGTAATCTCTCATTCTATCAAATGAGATAAACCACAAATAAAACCATAAACATACAAAAATACACCACACGGTCCATTTTAATCCATTTTTTCTAATTATGCACTGCATGCTGCAGGATTTTTTACATGGTGCACTTGCCATGTAGATGCATTCTCTTATCTAAGCCCAAATTTACCACTAAAAAGCTCAAGTGGGCCAAACTGATGACTTGAAACTACAGCTTGGACCCTCAAAGGGTTAAGTTGCTGAAGAGTTTAACTTCACTGCTGTCCATTTTGAGTGAATGTAAAGTTTCTTGATACACTGCAATGGTACTTATGGAGGTTTGAAAATTGGCTATATTTTCATTTCTTGCAATGCCCTGTGTAAAATTCTTGTGTAACGTAAACCTGCAACTTGGACCTAGTTTTTCCCTAATCAGGCGCACTATTTAGGAGTTCCTAGAGTTTGTACATAAATGTAAGTTTGGATAAATTCTATAGTTATCCAATGTACAGGCTAGTATATTAAACTAATAAATAGTACAAAAAAAAGTGAAAGGATTGGGACCCAATGCAAGCATTTACTATTTGCATTGTTGCAGAACTTAAGTGGACATGGTATTTATCCACTTTACATTTTCTGGTAAGCAGTTAGGCTATTACACAGCTACATGAAAATTTGGCAATATTCACAAAGTTTTGCTTACTGTCTGAAAGTAAGCCACTTAAGATTTTTTTGTAAATCTTAATAGACTTGATTGCATGTTCAACATTCGTTTAAATTCTTGGTGTGAACTACTTTAATGCAGTTGGAAACTTAATGGTAAAGTTCATCCCATAAATTTAGTAATTTTTATAATTCGGTAATAAGGCTACTGAATATTGTGATCTTCCCTCAAATTGGGTACCAAAGGCATAATCAGCTTTAACTCCTTGTATTAAGTGCTTTAAAACTGACTTTACAGTGCACTGGTGATGTTACTGCTTCTACCATAAATGGATTATCATTACATGGAATAGAGAACCTTTACTGGAGGCGCTCAGTTGATCAAGATATTAATGTCAATGTCCACATAAATCAAGCGGTTTTCCTGTAAGTATGACAGTACATCCATTCCTTTTGTTACATTGCACTCTTATCACCTTGGAATATTCAGTGTGACTGGACACTGAGAATGGACTTGGCATTAGATGGGGTCTATGAAAGATGAAAGCAAATTGTTACTAAAAATTTTAATTAACAGGGAGGCAGTGACTGGGTCAAGTATCAATGGCAACCAGATGACAGACTACCTCGACTTCAGAAGCTTGCAGATGATTTCTGGATCTTACACTTTTCAGGTGTGGCAAAAATAGTACTTGACAGAGTAAAATGGAATTAAGAAATGTTGTATTGATACTTGCTCTTTGCATAAGATTCATATAAATGGTTTCTCCCACTAGGATTCTGTGACTGTGAAAGGAAACCTGGAGTTAGGTCCAGGCAGCACAGTGAATGGAATTGATGTGGTGACCCTGAATAATACTGTACTGACCCTGTATGGTGACCAAACTATTGAAGGACCTATGGTAAGGGACTAGATTTGTTTGGATATTTAGATTTTCTAATTTAAAAAAATATGCTTTAGTGTTTAGTTTTCTTTGTAAAGGTTACAATGTGTAATTATAATTTTGGTTTGCCAGGTACAAAGAAAACTACTATAATGCTGGGTCATTTCAGAGTAATCCTCATACATGCTATTTATATATAGAAAAGATTGGTAAACTTTTATTAAAATCTTACACCGTAATACTAATGCAAGGTAGTCAAGGTGGAGGTTCATAAGAATTAAGTTGCTCTCTCGCTCACACTCGCTCTCAATTTCATGGACTGGCAGATCTTTAATAAACCAAGGTCATATAATTGGTCGAGTTGCTTCAACTGAATAGCTTTGGTTTGGTTAGTATTGAGAATTATTTTTAAGCAGTGCTAAAATTTATTAGTCAGATCCTTTACTGGTTCAGGGAGTGAATTCAATTTTCAGGTCTTTTATACGCATTACATTTTTAGTGTGAAACTGACACGAGGAATGTCAGTGCCTTGCATTGTTGTAGCCATCAAGGAGACATTTGTAGTGGGCTTATATTGTAGTTTAATGTCTTGTATATGTAGTAAGTTCAGGCTTTTAAAGTGGTGGGATGTGCTGTCTAGCACAGAGCTAGTAATCTGCACAACTTAAAGGTTTAAGGTGGTTGGCTGTGGTTGATCCCTAAGCACAAATACCATTGGCAAGGTAGGGCTATATTAGTGGTATAGGGTAAGGAGTCATTTGGGGTACATAGTATTTTATTTTGTAAAGGATGCATACTGATTTGGAAGTTGTCTTTGAGATTTGCTGGATCTTTCAACACACCAGCTGTATCCCACAGATTCGGGGTGGCTCAAAAGAAGAAAAAAGTTTCTCCTTTCACATTTAGTAATATATACAGAAGGTTAGTAGCCCCTTGCTCCCAGCATTTTAGTAGCCTCTTAACACTCATGGCTTACAGAGGAAGAATTGTTCACTTCCCCATGGATTTTCTGGATGTGGAGTGAAATTTAAGATTAAAGGTGAAGACCTAGAAATTAAGCCTTGTAATAGGGGGAACAGTGTGTAGATGTATAAAGTTGTATATTTAAGGCAGTTTCCAAACAGCATGAAGCGTTTTGTGACAGTCGTCAAAGTATATATTTTGAGCAGCTTTAGTCCAAGTATAGCTGGGTTTGAGTGGGAGTACACAAGTAGTCTGAATGGAACTGGTTTGAGTTGATGCAATGGGGAGATCATTGATGTGATAAGCGAGGGACCCTAGGACACGACCCCGGGGCACTCCGACAACTACAGGCTGTATAGTGGAGTTGCCTCCATTTGTGTATACTATACGTACCAGTATGTCAAGATAAGATTTTAGGTAATCAAGGGAATGTCCTCTGATGCTGTAATGATTGTTTTAGGCACAGAAGACAGCAGTCCGCTGTATCAAATGCTTTCTGTAGGTAAATGAAGAGGCCCAGAGGATATTAATTTTTGAGGGCTGTATATATTGGTTCAAGCATTCTTGTAATAGAATCTGCATTTCTTTCTAAACCTAAACTGGCAGGGGTTGTTGGATATAAAGCAAGTCGTTTTTTTATTTTTTTAAAATATAAAGTAAGGGAAAGTTTGATATAGGTCTATACTTCAGGTTAGTTGTATCACCACCTTTTGAGGATCAGGGTAACCCTTGCTGTCTTGAGTAGATAGGAAAGTAGGACTCTACAGATTTGTTAAACATTGTTGCTATAATGGGTGACAGCACATGTACAGCTTTTTTTTTTTTTTTTTTTTTTTTTTTTTTTTTTTTTTTTTTTTTATCAGAATTAGTTTGAGCTAAATATAGTATCTGGGTAGTTCCTAGTGAGTCTTTTGGCTGGATATTTGAGCTAGGAATTTTGCTTGCTAGCTTCAGTCCTGCAGTAGACAAATTAAATTTCTTTCGAGGCTGTATGAGAGGTTCACCTGGTTTAAATTTATTTCTAGAGTTTTCTAGAGCCCAAAAATCATGGATAGGGGTTTGCCAGGTCCTTTCCTTTTTTTTTTTTTTTTTTTTTTTTTTTTTTTTTTTTTTTTTTTTTTTTCCAATAAATCTAATTTTGTAATTTTGACTTTTGTGTGTTTTTAGTGTTAAACAGTGCTTAAAGCAAAGCACAACTTTCTGAAACTAATTTTTTTAGTTGCAAAGATTCATTTATTCACTCTTCATTCTGAATTGGTTGGCAAAACTCAGCTAGCAACTCAGAAGGTAGACTGGTTAAAATCACTGTATGGGAGATCATTATTTATTTTATTATCACACCGGCCGATTCCCACCAAGGCAGGGTGGCCCGAAAAAGAAACTTTCACCATCATTCACTCCATCACTGTCTTGCCAGAAGGGTGCTTTACACTACAGTTTTTAAACTGCAACATTAACACCCCTCCTTCAGAGTGCAGGCACTGTACTTCCCATCTCCAGGACTCGAGTCCGGCCTGCCGGTTTCCCTGAATCCCTTCATAAATGTTACTTTGCTCACACTCCAACACACGTCAAGTATTAAAAACCATTTGTCTCATTCACTCCTATCAAACACGCTCACGCATGCCTGCTGGAAGTCCAAGCCCCTCGCACACAAAAACCCCCTTTACCCCCTCCCTCCAACCCTTCCTAGGCCGACCCCTACCCCGCCTTCCTTTCCCCTACAGACTGATACACTCTTGAAGTCATTTTTGTTTCGCTCCATTCTCTCTACATGTCCGAACCACCTCAACAAAACCCCTTTCCCCAGCCCTCTGGACAACATTTTTGTAACCCGCACCTCCTCCTAACTTCCAAACTACGAATTCTCTGCATTATATTCACACCACACATTGCCCTCAACATGACATCTCCACTGCCTCCAGCCTTCTCCTCCTGCAACATTCATCACCCACGCTTCACACCCATATAAGAGCGTTGGTAAAACTATAAATCTCATACATTCCCCTCTTGCCTCCAAGGACAAAGTTCTTTGTCTCCCACAGACTCCTAAGTGCACCACCACTCTTTCCCTCATCAATCTATGATTCACCTCATCTTTCATAGACCCATCCGCTGACACGTCCACTCCCAAAATATCTGAATACGTTCACCTCCTCCATACTCTCTCCTCCAATCTGATATTCAATCTTTCATCACCTAATCTTTTGTTATCCTCATAACCTTACTCTTTCCTGTATTCACCTTTAATTTTCTTCTTTTGCACACCCTACCAAATTCATCCACCAATCTCTGCAACTTCTCTTCAGAATCTCCCAAGAGCACAGTGTCATCAGCAAAGAGCAGCTGTGACAACTCCCACTTTGTGTGTGATTCTTTATCTTTAACTCCACGCCTCTTGCCAAGACCCTCGCATTTACTTCTCTTACAACCCCATCTATAAGTATATTAAACAACCACGGTGACATCACACATCCTTGTCTAAGGCCTACTTTTACTGGGAAAAAATTTCCCTCTTTCCTACATACTCTAACTTGAGCCTCACTATCCTCGTAAAAACTCTTCACTGCTTTCAGTAACCTACCTCCTACACCATTACACTTGCAACATCTGCCACATTGCCCCCCTATCCACCCCTGTCCATACGCCTTTTCCAAATCCATAAATGCCACAAAGACCTCTTTAGCCTTATCTAAATACTGTTCACTTAAATGTTTCACTGTAAACACCTGGTCCACACACCCCCTACCTTTCCTAAAGCCTCCTTGTTCATCTGCTATCCTATTCTCCGTCTTACTCTTAATTCTTTCAATTATAACTCTACCATACACTTTACCAGGTACACTCAACAGACTTATCCCCCTATAATTTTTGCACTCTCTTTTATCCCCTTTGCCTTTATACAAAGGAACTATGCATGCTCTCTGCCAATCCCTAGGTACCTTACCCTCTTCCATACATTTATTAACTAATTGCACAACCACTCCAAAACTATATCCCCACCTGCTTTAACATTTCTATCTTTATCCCATCAATCCCGGCTGCCTTACCCCTTTCATTTTACCTACTGCCTCACGAACTTCCCCCACACTCACAACTGGCTCTTCCTCACTCCTACAAGATGTTATTCCTCCTTGCCCTATACACGAAATCACAGCTTCCCTATCTTCATCAACATTTAACAATTCCTCAAAATATTCCTTCCATCTTCCCAATACCTCTAACTCTCCATTTAATAACTCTCCTCTCCTATTTTTAACTGACAAATCCATTTGTTCTCTAGGTTTTCTTAACTTGTTAATCTCACTCCAAAACTTTTTCTTATTTTCAACAAAATTTGTTGATAACATCTCACCCACTCTCATTTGCTCTCTTTTTACATTGCTTCACCACTCTTAACTTCTCTCTTTTTCTCCATATACTCTTCCCTCCTTGCATCACTTCTACTTTGTAAAAACTTCTCATATGCTAACTTTTTCTCCCTTACTACTCTCTTTTACATCATCATTCCACCAATCGCTCCTCTTCCCTCCTGCACCCACTTTCCTGTAACCACAAACTTCTGCTGAACACTCTAACACTACATTTTTAAACCTACCCCATACCTCTTCGACCCCATTGCCTATGCTCTCATTAGCCCATCTATCCTCCAATAGCTGTTTATATCTTACCCTAACTGCCTCCTCTTTTAGTTTATAAACCTTCACCTCTCTCTTCCCTGATGCTTCTATTCTCCTTGTATCCCATCTACCTTTTACTCTCAGTGTAGCTACAACTAGAAAGTGATCTGATATATCTGTGGCCCCTCTATAAACATGTACATCCTGAAGTCTACTCAACAGTCTTTTATCTACCAATACATAATCCAACAAACTACTGTCATTTCGCCCTACATCATATCGTGTATACTTATTTATCCTCTTTTTCTTAAAATATGTATTACCTATAACTAAACCCCTTTCTATACAAAGTTCAATCAAAGGGCTCCCATTATCATTTACACCTGGCACCCCAAACTTACCTACCACACCCTCTCTAAAAGTTTCTCCTACTTTAGCATTCAAGTCCCCTACCACAATTACTCTCACTTGGTTCAAAGGCTCCTATACATTCACTTAACATCTCCCAAAATCTCTCTCTCTCCTCTGCCTTCCTCTCTTCTCCAGGTGCATACACGCTTATTATGACCCACTTCTCGCATCCAACCTTTACTTTAATCCACATAATTCTTGAATTTACACATTCATATTCTCTTTTCTCCTTCCATAACTGATCATTTAACATTACTGCTACCCCTTCCTTTGCTCTAACTCTCTCAGATACTCCAGATTTAATCCCATTTATTTCCCCCCACTGAAACTCTCCTACCCCCTTCAGCTTTGTTTCGCTTAGGGCCAGGACATCCAACTTCTTTTCATTCATAACATCAGCAATCATCTGTTTCTTGTCATCCGCACTACATCCACGCACATTTAAGCAACCCAGTTTTATAAAGTTTTTCTTCTCTTTTTTAGTAATTGTATACAGGAGAAGGGGTTACTAGCCCATTGCTCCCGGCATTTTAGTCGCCTCATACGACACGCATGGCTTACGGAGGAAAGATTCTTTTCCACTTCCCCATGGACAATAGAAGAAATAAAAAAGAACAAGAGCTATTTAGAAAAAGGAGAAAAACCTAGATGTATGTATATATATATATGCATGTGTGTGTCTGTGAAGTGTGACCAAAGTGTAAGTAGGAGTAGCAAGATATCCCTGTTATCTTAGCGTGTTTATGAGACAGAAAAAGAAACCAGCAATCCTACCATCATGCAAAACAGTTACAGGTTTTTGTTTCACAGTCATCTGGCAGGATGGTAGTACTTCCCTGGGTGGTTGCTGTCTACCAACCTACTACCTATATGGGAGATCAGACTTCCACAATTTTGAATTGCTCGTAATAAGTTTCCTCTTAACCCTTAAACTGTCCAAATGTAGATCTGTTCACTCGTGTAGCGCTCCGAATGAAGATTCTACGTTCTTTCACGTTCTTTCTTGTGGAGAAAATAAAGGTCGGAGCGTTCCACATGCAAACAGATCTACGTTGGGACAATTTAAGGGTTAATAGATTAATTTTGTGCCCATGTCCCTTTCATCAGTGAAATGGAATTGCTGCTCTAAAATGTACTTGGCAAAGTTTACTTGCAGTAATTTTTATTTTGACCATGAATATTTGAATTGGGCCAGAGTTCAAAAACTGGAAATAACTTTGTACTGGCTAATGCATTTTCTAGTACTTTAACTAAACTTTATAATTGTGCCTAGTTTTTGAGCTTAAACCCATAGCTATCTTGGCTGTAGTAACTACGAGCACATGGTTCACGATATAGAACATCATTGTAATTGCTAATAAATGCTTTGGTGAATTTGAAGTGAATTCAAACATTAGGGAAGCAGTAAGTTACTGAAAATATTGGACAAAGGTACTCAGTTCATTCTGAATATTAGTGGCAATTACAGTATGCAAGTTAGACCTAGTTAGATCATGAAGGGCTGCATTTACTTTTTTGTAATCCCAGTAGCTGTGGGGGGGGGAAAAATGCCCTTTTATCTGCCTTTAACTTGGCAGAATTTTGATAACTTAAAATTACTGTACTTTTTTCTTCCTAGAATTGCCATAGCAGATTGACAATTGGCACACTCGATCTATCTGGGACATTAAATGGTATAAACCTCTCGACTGATCTAATGAGGCTAGATGAAGACTTTGAACATAAAGGTAAATAATTTTGTACCAATTGTAAATCAAAGCCCTTGACATATCATTCATACAAAGTGTTAAGTTGCTAATTTTATTTTTTTCTCGTAGGGCACCTTGTATTTGTATCAAATACAGTGGCAGAATCTATTTTCTTAAATAGCCACCTGAATGTAGATTCTCTAAATGGGTTTGATGTGAGAGAGACTGCAGAAAATATGGTAATAATGAATGAAGATGCCATAATATCCGGGTCATCTGGTCTTCAGCTAACTGGCACTGTCAGCAGTAAGAGTCTTTAATGTTTGTAATGAAATTAATTCACACATTAATGAAATTACATATTTACACTGGTTGCTCTGTATAACAAATTTTTCTTTTCAGTCACCACTCTCAATGTCAGTGGCACTATTGATGGTGTAAACCTGGAAGATCTGGTGAAGAGAGCTCTGCTGAAGTCTTCAGCATCACCCCAAGTAGTCACAGGACATGTCACAGTAACTGAGGGTGTCCATTTCAGCCAGCCACCTACACTGGACAAAGTCAATTCTAAGAACTGGGAGAAACACCTTAATGATGTAATTACTATATACTCTTTAAATTAATACACCTTTTGCAACAAAGCTGCAAATGTTAAGTGGTAAAAAAATCTTAACTTTGCCTAGGGTTAATTGTTACTTTCAGCATATCTTGCCTATCACGCACTTTGAAATTTTCTGCTATATTGCTATAACAAATTTCTTAAAAAAAAAAATTAGTAGTATTTCCTACTGTATGTATGTCATCTCCCACCAAGGCAGGGAGACTACAAAAATGAGTTTCACCATCATTCACACAAGTCTTTGCAGAGGTTAATACATCCATTTTAAAAATTTCAGGTTGTCTTAAAGAATTATAGTGGCATTATCAGTGGAACAAAGACATTCCATCAACCACTGAACATCCTTGGAAACTTTGACCCAGTTACCATCAATGGCATCAGAGTTGCTGATTTAGCATCCAGGTGTTTAACGAAATCAAGTGACCAAGTTATTTACAACCCTTACACTTTCAATTCCAGTATTAGTGTCTGTAAGTGAATTTGTTTCAAGTGTTCGTTTTGATAACTTGTGACCTTGATCCTTTAGAATATATGGATTTCTAATTATAATTTACCATTCTGTAAGTTTCGGTCGTATGTCTTATGAGCCAGTGTTTGACGTATATATATGCTCAAAAATTCTAGCTGCTTCAAATCTAGCAGGAAAGCTGGTAGGCCCACATGAGTGGATCTGTGGTCAGTGCACTAATATATATACACACACACACACATATATATATACACATATATACACACAAAAAACTTGCAGCAGGCGGTGCATAATGAGAAACTTTTTCTATTAAAGCGCCGACTGTGGTGTATTTTTGTGTAGTGTTCATGGTTGTATTCTCGTTTTCTTGGTCTCGTTTGATAGAATGGAAACCATATAGGAATAGAGGTAATTGTGATTGGTTTTTCTATGAAAAGAACCTTGAAATGGAGCTCAAAATAGTTTTTTTTTTTTTTGTGTGCTGATTAAAAGTAGCAAATGTTATTGTCCAATAAATGTCCAACTAGCCATTCTAATATGCAGTCATAAATGAGTTTACAATTACAATATTGCAATAGTCTGCGTAACAGTAAATTTTTTATTTTCCTCAAAGTCTGCCGTCTCACTGAGGCAGGGTAAATATTTATTCTTTTAATAAATATTCAAAATAGAAAGCAAGAGTAATATCAGAGGGGCTGGAGATAACTGATGAACAGTTACTTTTAGTTAGGAATGTCTGCACTGTTCATTCTAAACCCTATTTTGAAATTGGCATATTTTTTAATTTGCATGAAATTGGCCAAATTGTAAGTTTCTGACCATGTTATTAAGTTTAAATTAGTAAATGGGCAGTTTCTTGTACTCGATAAAACAAATGGCATTCTAAAATAGCAGTTTGATAGACTGGAACAATGGAATTAGCCAAAAATAGGGCTTGGTGGGTAAAATTGCAGATTCGTAAATATTGCCAACTTCGCGAGGGTGTAATTCCATAAGTTTTCCCATCAAATTTCGTTCTTTCTAGAGTCATTAGCCTCTAGAAAAGATTATAATTTCATAAGATTTTTAATTTTTTGACACCAGGAGACTCTCAGAATCTGGGGTTGCGACAGTCTAAGGGTTGAGCATTAGTCTGCCTGAAATGAGTGCTAATTGCTCTTTGTGCTTTTTAGTATTTTGTGAACTACTGTATACTGCCAAAATTGTCAAAATTTAATTTGACTGAAGGTGAGAGTATTCTAGTAATGACTACATACTAAAATTAATATTCTAGTATCTTGAATGACTTTTTGGTTAACCTTTTAAAAATTCCCTTAATATCTTCCCCACTTCAAGGGGAGGGGGATGACACTGACAACTTGGGCAAGTAAAGAAAATTTGAGTAGACTGGAAAGTTCAAAATAGCACGAATGTCTTTTAACATGGCAGATGTATAGATCCTGCTACCGAATGACTCAAATGGCCCATTTGGGGGGGGGGGGGAACCTTGCTCGGTATAACTTAAGCTGTTACCTGAATGTTATTATTTTTTATTTTATTATCACACCGGCCGATTCCCACCAAGGCAGGGTGGCCCGAAAAAGAAAAACTTTCACCATCATTCACTCCATCACTGTCTTGCCAGAAGGGTGCTTTACACTACAGTTTTTAAACTGCAACATTAACACCCCTCCTTCAGAGTGCAGGCACTGTACTTCCCATCTCCAGGACTCAAGTCCGGCCTGCCGGTTTCCCTGAATCCCTTCATAAATGTTACTTTGCTCACACTCCAACAGCACGTCAAGTATTAAAAACCATTTGTCTCCATTCACTCCTATCAAACACGCTCACGCATGCCTGCTGGAAGTCCAAGCCCCTCGCACACAAAACCTCCTTTACCCCCTCCCTCCAACCCTTCCTAGGCCGACCCTACCCCGCCTTCCTTCCACTACAGACTGATACACTCTTGAAGTCATTCTGTTTTGCTCCATTCTCTCTACATGTCCGAACCACCTCAACAACCCTTCCTCAGCCCTCTGGACAACAGTTTTGGTAATCCCGCACCTCCTCCTAACTTCCAAACTACGAATTCTCTGCATTATATTCACACCACACATTGCCCTCAGACATGACATCTCCACTGCCTCCAGCCTTCTCCTCGCTGCAACATTCATCACCCACGCTTCACACCCATATAAGAGCGTTGGTAAAACTATACTCTCATACATTCCCCTCTTTGCCTCCAAGGACAAAGTTCTTTGTCTCCACAGACTCCTAAGTGCACCACTCACTCTTTTTCCCTCATCAATTCTGATTCACCTCATCTTTCATAGACCCATCCGCTGACACGTCCACTCCCAAATATCTGAATACGTTCACCTCCTCCATACTCTCTCCCTCCAATCTGATATTCAATCTTTCATCACCTAATCTTTTTGTTATCCTCATAACCTTACTCTTTCCTGTATTCACCTTTAATTTTCTTCTTTTGCACACCCTACCAAATTCATCCACCAATCTCTGCAACTTCTCTTCAGAATCTCCCAAGAGCACAGTGTCATCAGCAAAGAGCAGCTGTGACAACTCCCACTTTGTGTGTGATTCTTTATCTTTTAACTCCACGCCTCTTGCCAAGACCCTCGCATTTACTTCTCTTACAACCCCATCTATAAATATATTAAACAACCACGGTGACATCACACATCCTTGTCTAAGGCCTACTTTTACTGGGAAAAAATTTCCCTCTTTCCTACATACTCTAACTTGAGCCTCACTATCCTCGTAAAAACTCTTCACTGCTTTCAGTAACCTACCTCCTACACCATACACTTGCAACATCTGCCACATTGCCCCCCTATCCACCCTGTCATACGCCTTTTCCAAATCCATAAATGCCACAAAGACCTCTTTAGCCTTATCTAAATACTGTTCACTTATATGTTATTAACCTATACTAAATTTTCAAATAGTGATTGCTATCCATTCTTGCATAATTTAAAAACGAATGGTGTGGATCTTGCTGATACGACGGTGCATATTCTGACAGGCCATGCTATGTTATAGGCCAGAGCTAATAGTACATTCAGTAAATGTAATGACTCATAGTAGGCATCCCTTATTGTGCATTCTTGCTGTAGTCTGTAACTTTCCATGTTTACCTTCTTGGTTCTTGCCTTTGTTGTTCTTCGTTGGTGACTTTCTTTAGGAATACTTTACCTGTTAATCTAAAACTTCCTACATTTTTTCCATCTGTTTTTTCCTCTCCCACTAATTCCACCTTCATGTTGCTGCTACTGCCTTGGCTAGAAAATCCTTGTACATAATTTTTACTTGAAGGGTTGGGATGCTTTTCTATGTAAAACGAATTTTGGTTCTCTAGATTGCCTTATGGTAGAATGACTAGGGGGCAACATGTTGGGTATCTGACTTGACCCAAGCAGTAAGTGTAGTGTTCTTGAATAGATAACTCTTGGCTTGAAAGGTTCAGTAAAATTAACCTTGAATGGACCATAGTATTTTTCACCCTCTAAATTGAATTTTCCTTTCTTTGCAGCCTACTTGTCCTCTCCTGTCATAGATGGTGTCAACATGAGCAATATATTACTAATTGACCAAGCTGGTAATCTGGGTGGTACAGCAGTCTTCATGTCAGACACCACCTTCATTGGTGATGTAACTTCAGCACACAATCTGCTTGGTTGTGATGAGGCAAGTGGTGTGAACTTTTTTCAATTTCCACTTCATTCTGGAACTTTAAAGTTTGCTATATGAATCAATATTAAATACTTGACAATGAAGGCAATGCTAGCTGTAAAATGTCTCTTCTGTATTTTAAGTTTCCTCCTTCACTGTTAGTTGATCCAGATAGAACCTCCCAGTTTTTGCCGGTAGTGGACTTTTGTTGTGGAATTTACTTGTATGAATTTTTCACCATCCATCCCAAAAAGTAGGTCTAGATGCTAGAACCAAAGGTTATTCTAATGCAAAAGAAAAACCAGCAGTACTTAGCAAAATGGTGCCAATTTTATATTTATAAAATTCTTTACCAACAGTTAGCAACTGGTAGTCCTTGGAAGCTGTTCCATACTATATTTTAATACTTTATTTATGGCTTAAGTTAAAAAAAAAAAAATTGCATTGAGGCAGTGTTGAGACCAGAGGATCCATGTGACCAGTTAATATTTTTTCACATTGCTGCTTTACAGGATATAAAGTAAAGGCCCATAGTATGCACATTTTGGTCAGCACTTGTCTAGCTTTGAACTTGTTTAATACAATATTGTCCAGGTTTTGAAAATTTTTTAATTAACACATTAATAGTTTCTCACTAACATAGTGGCCCAATAAAATAACTTTCGTAATTATTCACTCCATCACTCGTACCAGAGGCATGCTTACACTACTTATAAAACTGCAACCTTAACCCTCCTTTAGAGTGCAGGCACTGTACTTTCCATCTCCTGGACTGAAGTCCAGCCTGCAGGATTCCCTACATTCCTCCATAAATATTACCCTGCTCACTCCAGCAGCAGTCCTAAAAACCAGTCTCCAATCACTCCTACCAAAAATACTTCCTGGAAGTCCAAACCCCTCACCCAACCTTTCAACAACCCCCCCCCCCCCTTGTCCCTCAACCTTTCCCAGGCTGACCCTTACCCTACCTTCCCTCCACTTTTCAGATTTATACACAAGTAATTCTATTTACTTCCTTCCTCTACATGTCCAAACCACCTCAATAACCCCTCCTTGGCCCTTTGAATAAGTTTTGGTAATCCTGCACCTCCTCCTAATCTCCAAACTACAGATTCTCTATTATATTCACACCACACATTGCCCTTAGACACATCTCCACTGCCTCCAGCCTTCTTGTTGCCAGTCTCCATCTGTACTTTACACAAATATAAGAGCATTGATATAACTATACTCTTACATTCCCCTCTTTACTTCCATGGATAGTTTTCTCCTCGCCAGTGCACCAATTGGCATGTTTTACCTTGTAAATTCTGATTTGCCTAATCTTTCATAAACACATCTGGCAACACTTCCACTCCCAAATCTGGAAGCATTCACTTGTCCTCCAATCTGATGTACAATCTTTTGTAATCTAATTTTTATTATTGCTTTCCTATATTCACTTAATTTCCTACCAGACTCTTCCACTAACCTTTGCAATTTGTTCAGAATTTCCCAAAGCAGTGTCATCAGCAAAGAACTGTGACAACTCTCACTTTTAGAATCAGTCTTTTAACCCTACACCTCTTGCCAGCACCTGAACATTCACTTCTCACAACCTCATCTATAAATATATTGAACAACCAGTGATGTCACATCCCTGTCCAAGGCCTACTTTTACTGGGAAATCTTCCTCTCCTACATACTCTAACCTGAGCCTCACTATCCTCATAAACTCTTCACTGCTTTCAATAACTTGCCTAATTTAAAGGTCTGGCAAAAAAATTTAAATCTAGTAATTCATCTCCATAATCAGAATAAATTTCATAGGCAGGCATATGGAAAAAGCATGTCACTAGTGCTGCCTTGGGCCTAATGGTATCATGCAAGCATGTAGTACTTGTATTCTAATAGTATTAAATGGCATGAATTCTGGTAAATTGTGCTAGGCATGTAGCAGCCAAATGGCAAATGAAAGTTGAAGACTACAATTGTTGCTTCAAAGTTTTAGGTTTATGGAAATTTGTGAAGATAATTTATACTGTTCTTATTTTCATAATTTTTCCCTTGTATTTTCTAAACATTTTAAATTTTAACAGCTGAACAAAAGACCAATCATAAGGGACCAGTATGGCAATATAAACATCCATGAATCAATAAGGATTGAGGACTTGAGTCTATCCGGCACTGTAATCTCTGAAGCTGCTGTGATGGCAGGGACTACACAGAAAATAAACTTGGATCACTTTCTAGATTCTCTAGTTTTAAAATCTGTTCCTCAAGAAATTTATGGTTAGTATTATAATTTCTGAATAAATTTCTTGGTTCTAAATATTAAACTTCCCCACCAGATACTCTTATAAAATGCATAAAATAGGGAAATGCCTAAGTATTCATGAAGTGTGGAGATAATGTAGCAAAGTATACAGATGGTGACATTACCAAACTGTCTTCACTGCTTAAAACTTGTGCCAAATAAACTCTGAAGAGTAAGGGCAAAATACGAGGACTTTTGGCTGAATGGACTATAAAAAAAAATTCACACCAACTAAAGTTTTGGTTCAACCTGTACCATTTAGTCTATGGCCGTTCAGACCAAAATGTCATCAGGACTCTCCTGTGTAGATTTTGTAAATACTGCAGTCTTGTTTGTCATAACTGCATTGACCCTTTGACTGTCGTGGCCGTATATATGTCTTACGAGGTACCGTGTTTGACGTATATGTATTCGTAAATTCTAGCAGCTTCAAATCAAGCAGGAGAAAGCTGGTAGGCCCACATGAGAGAATGGATCTGTGGTCAGTGTGCACCATATAAAAAAAATCCTGGAGCACTCAGTGCATAATGAGAAAAAAAAAAAAAAACTGACCGGGTTTTTTTTTAATTGCCGACTTTGTGGTCTATTTTCGTATAGTATTTATGGTTGTATTCTAGTTTTCTTGGTCTCATTTGATAGAATGGAAAATATATTAGAGAAATAGAGGTGATTTTGATTAATTTTACTATAAAAAGAACCTGGAAAAGGAGCACCAAGTACGGGAAATGTTTGATTTTTTGCCGATGTTCAAAAGTAAACAAATAATGTCATTGTCCAATATATGTCCAAATATGCGTTCTTATATGCAGTCATGAATGGGCCGATGTAATTTTTACAATTATTACAGTAGTCTGCATAACAGTAATTCTTCTATTTTTGTTTGAATAAAATTTCAAAATAAAAAGCAAGAGTAATATCAGAGGGGCTCGAGACATGACTGATGAACAAAGAAAATGTTATTTTAGAGCCAGGAATGTCTGCATTGTTCATTCTGGTCCTTATTTTGAAATTGTCATATTTTTTAATTTTCGTGAAATTGGCCAAATTGCAAATTTCAAATGGGCAGTTTCTTGTACTAAATTGATAGAAAAAAAAAAATGGCGTTCTGAAGAAATAGCAGTTTGGTTGACTGGAATAATGGAATTAGCCCAAAATAGGGTTCAAAGTGGGCAAAATCGCCGCTTTGTAAATATCGCTGAGGTTGCTAACTTTGCGAGAGCGTAATTCAGTCAGTTTTCCATCAAATTTCGTTTTTTTGGCGTCTTTACAATCGGGAAAATTCTCTATCATTTCATAATTTTTTTTTTTTAATTTTGCGACGCCAGGAGACTCCTCAGGATTGGGGGTTGCGGCAGTCAAGGGGTTAGAGAAAAACTAAATACTGAGGATTTCAGGTTGTACCTTCTGCAAATTCTTCATAGTTTGGTATTGCCCAGTTGTGGCTTTGTGGATAACTGACACTATTGCCATTCCATATGGCAGGAAAAAGAATCATAAGCCCCCTTTAAAGGTTAGTTTTCCATGATAGTTGGCAAACATTACCTCTAAGCTACCCATGCCACTTGGTTTAGTATGGTAATTTAATGGATTTTGTAAATACTGGTTTAAGACTTCAGAATGGCTACTAGGGAATATTTCTACTGGACTAAAGCAGTGTTATAGGCTCTGTAATAATGAACTTGAATAGCTGTACTAATTGGCTTTAATTAAACTAATCACTTAACAAGATCATAGTTACTTTCATAGCAATTTGGTGTCGATAGCTTGTTAGGGTAATATGCATCAGTGGTAATGTATCTGGTCACTGTATGGTATTAAACAATTTTTTCCCCCAAACAGGCACTGTAGAATTTCTTGGCGATGTTAATGTAAGTTCTATGACGGTGAACACGATTAATGATGTGAATATTGTGGAGCTGTACAGGGACAGTGTTATGGATGATGAAGATACTGTAAGTAAAATCTAGTTAACTGGAATGTTGAAAAAAAACATTTCCAGTTGCAACAAATTTTAAGCAAGTTTTTATTTGGCAGGTTATAACTTGCAACTTGGAGTTCAGCAACCCACTGACAGTTAACAATTTAGTAGTTGAGACATCAATATTGGGAAAGTCTGGCAGTGGTGTCTTGGTCAATGGTGTCAACATTGCATATCTACAAACACAAGCTGTTCTTGATAATGAAGATACATTTATCATTGTGGGTGATAAGACTTTCCATAATGGATTTTCCACTGACAACCTTATGGTGAACAGTAAGTATGTTTGACATTTATATTCAGCATGTATATTGTCACACTAGGTAACTTTTCCATGCCTACTATTGCCATTAGTCCATAAAGGTCTTTCAGCTGAATTAGCGAATTATACATAAAATTACCAGTTAGGGCAAAATCTTAATTGGTGCTTAATTTGTATAATTTTTTTCTGGACTGATTTACTGTTCAGTTTTGTGTTAACCTTCCAAATGTAATTAGTATTAACAAGACCACATATTTGAGCTTTCAGTGGTAGTACATAAAATTCTCAATTTCAAGCTTTGTAGGCAGATATGGTCCACTTCCACCCATGCCCAAATGTGCTAATGAAATGTTAAGTTCATCACTAATTTGCAGTTTGAACTTTGTGTAAGCAATATTTTTTTCAGCTGCACTGAAGCTATGAATGGAAATACCAATTTCATAAGTAATAGCAATTAAAACTCTCCCTTATCCTTGCCTAGTTAATCCTTAATGCCCTCCTTTAACATTTTCATATTGGTATAAAAGTTACCCCCCCTCCCCATTCCTTGAAGTTTCGTCCTAAATTCTGGACTATTTCTTACCCCTAGTATACTGAACTTAACAGTTGCTTTAAAAATTTAATTACCATAACTTTCCTGACTGCAAGCCACATTTAGTGGCTCTTGTACACGTTTGTGAAACGTAATTCTTAATTTGCTCAATACTTGGAGAATGGCAATTTTTGCTTTAAAATGGTTTTTTGGTCAGATCCATAATTTAACTATGCTTGCATATACTAATGAAGTTTAATGAATAGTTTAAATTTTGCTTCTAATTGTCTTCAGAGACTCTAGGGGGTGTAGCAGTGAATGATTTGGTGGCCTTCCCCAATGCAAGAAACTTGTCTGAAGTAGTCTTTAATGCTCCCATTATGATACGTGGCAACCTGAATGTAAGTCTGTAATAGGTTAAATAGACTTTTGATGCACAAATGAAAATTTGATTACATTTAATGCAGTGCTCTTTATTCAGTTTAGCAATATTTATTCTGCATTTTGATTTCAGGTGTCAGGCTTGCTGGATGGCATTAATCTTGCTGATGTGATGAGAAATAGGGTAACTCTCGATGGGTCACACACACTGTTGGGTGCCTGTAAATTTGATGCTATTAATGTGGAAGGCAAGTGTTTAAAAAGCTGAATTGTTCTGTGCCAAATTAGTTTTGGTATTTATGGCTTACTCAATTTTTTACACAAGTTTAACTGTTATTGCTCCTGGCATGCTATTTGCTCTTTTTATGCCTTAACACTTAAAATGTAAAGTATGAGATATAGTAGTATATTAGAACTACTTTCTTCGCTAAGGGCAAACTAGAGTATGTTCTAAAAGGAGAACCTGAAGTTGGACCTTTGAAAAGGCTAGAATAACAAATACTGACTCTGCACAGTCCACGAATGTGAACCAGCATATTGTACAGATGATTTAGTAGACTTGTAATAAAATAGGGACAGCCACCGTTTCAAACTTTTTTTTTTATGTAGTTAAATGAAAATTTGTTGAAAGGTGTAAAAGCTTGCTAGACTTCTCATGAAGATGAACCATAGTATTTTAATACAGAAATAGATAATTTCACTGTGGCCTAGTAGGTAAGCTCTTGATTCACATGCTTAGGGTCTGGGTTCAGTTACTGGCAAGGGTGGATACACTGGGAGTTTCCTTGCACATGTTAATGTTCACCCATCGGTAAAATGAGTGCCTGGGTGTTATTTGGCTAGTGTGGGTCACAGCCTAGGACCAAATAGACCTAATTTGCCCAAAATGATCTGCCTAAGAAGCTGCTTTCTGTATGTCAAATGTTGGCTAGGCCTGTATACCTTATGCATATACTTGAATACCCTTTAGTAAAATAACCACCTACAGTAAGTGAACATTGATAATGCAGTTTACTTCCTTCTTGTGGAAATTGCCTAATAGATTGGTTTGTTTTAATTGGCTTTTCATAGTACTTTTATTACTTGATTGGCTTCTGAACTTGTACTGAAACGTTGTTGCAAAAAAGTTTGTGCTTCACCAATTTCTTAATTGGTGCCCCCTCGCCCCCCTATTTCTAGTTACATACATCAGTTGGTAGTGCACTGTTCACAGGTGTGGGGTTTGATCCCCAGTACAGGTGGAAACTTCATTTTCCTAGATACTTGTCCCTATTCGCCTAGCAGTAAGTAGGTACCTGGGTGTTGGCAAAAAATGGCGGGTTGAATCCTGGGAACAAAATTAACGTAATTTGCAGTTTTCTATATAGTATTGTCAGCTGGGTCTGTTGTACCGTGTACTTTTGGATATATAAAAATATTTACTACTAGAAGCTTGAATTACTTTAACAGCTTAATTTATCTGTATTAGTGAATTGAAGGTATTTTTTATACTTTACCAGGTAACATTGAAGTGGAGAAGATTAATGATGTGGTAATAGCAAACCTTGTTAGAAAAGTTGCTCCAACACAAATTATCAGTGGCCACAAGACTTTTGGTGGTGGTCTCACTGTTAATGGAGAAATAAATGCCACTGTGTTGAATGGCATCTACATCAAACAACTAAAGAACATTGTAAGGACAGACAAGGACTATAATATAACTCATCCAGTTGTAAGTAAAATTTGTTTTATTTTACTTGTAAAGCTGGGCATGATAGTCTCATTTTTGCCTGTCAAATTCACTTTTACACTATCTTTAAATTGCCTAAATTTTTTACTCTTTAAAAAAAAATTGCAAGAATGTTAGTGGTTTTCTTAAGGTTACATTAGTTTATGCTAGTTTCGTTACTTTAAGGCCAGCTTACTTGAGATTGGGTTGTCACGGCTCTTGAAACCAATTAATGTAGGACAGGTTATGACTAGTTTGTTGCACTCTTGCATGGTGGCAAATTTTCTAGTACTTTCTAGAGGCATACCTCACTGCAGCAAATAGTTGTGCTTGCAGAAAATCTTTATTTACATTTAGTGCTCTAGTGTACCTAGTTTCCGAGACTTTTACAATTTTTTAATTTGCCGTACAAATTTTAAGACATTTAAAGTATGTATTAATTATTTTTTGTAGTTTGTATTTCATGCTACTGAATATTGGACCCAGCACTAAATTTCCCTAAAGTTTGCATATTGCAATGCACCAGTAATAAAAAGGGCATGAACTATTTTGGCCAGTGTATTCTCTAAAGCACAGGTAGGTTCTAGGGAGGGGGGGGGGGCAGAGGGAAAATAAACCAGCTAGGGTTCTGTTATTTTCTAAGTTTGAGAAGCTTAAATTGGTTTGTGCACCATGCCCAGATATGTACACCTTACAGAAATATTTAGTGTCTTGTAAGGATTGAGCAGACCAATTTCTTAACCACCCTGCTGGGAGGTTCTTTGCCACCCTTACTATAGCTTGACAGACTGGAATAAATTTTAAATTTGCCCACTGGTTAGGCCTTAATTTTGAAAATCATTGGGATGCATATAGGAATTTAACTAGGAAGGTGGGGGAACAAAGATAATTGACATTAATAATTTACTAATGCTGTATAACTGTGCTGATCATTCTAGAATTTAATTTGAGTGACAAAGTATGTACTCCCAAAGGAAGTTTGTAAAACTTGCAGAGTAAAATTGGAATTTTTCTTGCTTTCATTCTTGAATAGTTAAAGGGATTGCAGACATTACCAATAATTTAGATGCTTAAGTGAATCTGAGTGAATTTCAATAAATTTTCCAGACTAGCATTCTTGTCTGCCTTTAAAAAGTTATTAGGGTATATAAGTGAAAGTGACTTTGCACATCTGGATCTGAAAGTTCATTATCCAGCTTGTACATTTTCTTGCTGTTATTTTTGTTCAATCCCTAATTACTTGCTAGTTTTATGTACTTTAAATGCATGGTTTATAAAAGGTGTGTGTGTAAGTGTGTGTGTGTAAGTGTGTGTGTGTAAGTGTGTGTGTGTGTGTAAGTGTGTAAGTGTGTAAGTGTGTGTGTGTGTGTGTGTGTGTGTAAGTGTGTGTGTGTGTGTGTGTGTGTGTGTAAGTGTGTGTGTGTAAGTGTGTGTGTGTGTGTGTGTGTGTGTGTGTGTGTGTGTGTGTGTGTAAGTGCATGTGTTAAGTGTGTGTGTGTAAGTGTGTGTGTGGGGGTGTGGTGTGTGTGTGTGGTGTGTGTGTGTGTAAGTGTGTGTGTAAGTGTGTGTGTAAGTGTGTGTGTAAGTGTGTGTGTAAGTGTGTGTGTAAGTGTGTGTTTTAAGTGTGTGTGTAAGTGTGTGTGTAAGTGTGTGTGTAAGTGTGTGTGTAAGTGTGTGTGTAAGTGTGTGTGTAAGTGTGTGTGTAAGTGTGTGTGTAAGTGTGTGTGTAAGTGTGTGTGTAAGTGTGTGTGTAATGTGTGTGTGTAAGTGTGTGTGTAAGTGTGTGTGTAAGTGTGTGTGTAAGTGTGTGTGTAAGTGTGTGTGTAAGTGTGTGTGTAAGTGTGTGTGTAAGTGTGTGTGTAAGTGTGTGTGTAAGTGTGGTGTGTAAGTGTGTGTGTAAGTGTGTGTGTAAGTGTGTGTGTAAGTGTGTGTGTAAGTGTGTGTGTAAGTGTGTGTGTAAGTGTGTGTGTAAGTGTGTGTGTAAGTGTGTGTGTAAGTGTGTGTGTAAGTGTGTGTGTAAGTGTGTGTGTAAGTGTGTGTGTAAGTGTGTGTGTGTGTAAGTGTGTGTGTGTGTAAGTGTGTGTGTGTGTAAGTGTGTGTGTGTGTAAGTGTGTGTGTGTGTAAGTGTGTGTGTGTGTAAGTGTGTGTAAGTGTGTGTGTGTGTAAGTGTGTGTGTGTGTAAGTGTGTGTGTGTGTAAGTGTGTGTGTGTGTAAGTGTGTGTGTGTGTAAGGTGTGTGTGTGTGTAAGTGTGTGTGTGTGTAAGTGTGTGTGTGAGAGTAAGTCTAAGTCTTGAAATACCTGGTGATAAAATCCCCAAACTTGAGATTTAAATATTAATGATCTGAAGTGGCTTAATTGTGCTTTTTGGTGTGATACTACTTGGTAAAGTATACAAACCATTATATGGTAGCAAGTCAGTTAAAGCATATTAACTTATTTCAGACATTTGAAGCTTCTGTCAGAACTTCATCATTAGTTGAAGTCAACGGTACAGTTAGCCAAGATTTGCATAGTCTTGACCAGAATATCTCTATTCTGAATTCTGAATTGGAGAATAGATATGAATACATAAAGGACTTACAAAATGAAATTGAAACTATAACAAGAGAAAATTATGCAGGAGCTAGAGGTGAGGATTGTTATGAAATGTACTATTTGTTGATGGAATAACCATAATGTAACCTGTAATGGTTTTCCTGTACTGTATGTACAGTAGAACTTTATTTTGTATGCCCTAGTTTGTATGTAAAACTAGTTAGTCTAAAATACATGTTTTATAAATTTTTTGATGTCTGGAATGGAATAATTGGATTTATTTCTTGTGGGAAATGTTAAAATAGGTTTTGTACATTTTTACAAACTAGGGCATACAAAAGCAGTTTCCCCTGTGCTAAAACTGGTTTCCCTCCCCCATCCCTTATGGAGTTTCCTTGTTAGAAAGGGTTATTTTGAGATTATTCTAGTCAGTTTTGTCCTGTGACCTTTTGAATGTCCAATTGTTTATGGATAGTAAACTTTTAGCACAGGCACTTGGTTTTTTTTTATATACTAGCCTTTCATTTAGAAGTCACTGCAAGTTCCTTTCCAGGTCTTTTAGCAGTTTAGCTTTGACAATCTTTAGTTACAATTTTATGCCTATCCTTGCCTATGTGCTTGACAGTTGTCTCCTTGTTGCAGCCATGTTTTTGGTTCTGGCCTACTTGGAAAAAGTTAACTATTATAAATTAAGGTACTTCGGAGGTATGAAGTTCATAACCGACTATAACCTTGAAGGTGGCAACACATTGTTGAGTGTGAAAAGCTGCGATAGGGATTGCGTGTGTGATGCAGAAACAAGGTTGTATAAGGTAAGTAATACAAACTTTGGTCAGAAAGAGGGCTGGATGTACACACTTGAGCTGCTGAACAAAAATTCCCTATCCAGAGCAGAATTGTCTAAAATAGTTTACTGTGCCAGGAGTCTTAACTTGCCTTGATAGCAATACTTAATCATTGAAGCATGTTGAGAATTTTACCGAGTTTTCTTAATAGCTAAAATATTGTAAAAAAAAAAAAATTACCTTTGCCTGCAGTTAGTTTGTACTTGTTCTAATGGAGTAGACAATTTTATCTAGCATAGCTAATTGTAATTGTTTAAGCAACTTTTAATTTTTATCTACTAGGTTAGCCAGACTGGTACTGTAGCAGAGGAGGCAAGCATAATATTCCCAGGATCAGTGTTCATCTTTGGCTGGCCAGCTATGAATCTTCAGATTACATTAACTTTAATGTGAGTTGCAGGTTAATATTACACTTGATAACTGCTGTTTCCATATTTTTTAGTTGTGGTAAAGTTAGTCTTTACTTTGTGTGAAGAAGCTTTGTGCTTTCTCACTGGTCAGGGGACATGAAAATTCAACCTGGTTTTCATGTGACCCTCCCCCTCCCCCCTCCCTCTCTTGCACCTTGACATATTTAAGGAAGCTCTGTACTAGTCTTGTACTGCCAAAATTTAATTCAGTAAGAACATTAAAAATTCAGACTAAAAGCTTTGCTTTTCAGTGAATTGAACTATCTAGTTAAGGCTTTATCAAATGTTAAAAATTGTCTAATAGGGTAATTGCAATGAAATGCATATTGGTAGTAGAGTATTATGAAATTTTATGATGCAAAGTTTTCAGGATTTTACTAAATGAATTTTATCCATAGCTGCCATCCAGAGGCATCTGTGGCTATTGAGGTGTCTAGTAATAGTGATGGCTACCTACATACTGTACTGAAGGCTCAAATGTCGCTGGGATTAGTAATAGATTCTGCAATGTTCATCGATGGAAGTGCTGCATATGTTGTAACCATAGCAATGTTTGAGGATGGTAAGACATTGCTTTGTAAAGTTTGCAAATATTGGTAAGCGAGGAAAGTAAAATTTGAGACTTGATTGTTTTATTGCAAGACAGATTCAGTAGATAGCTTTATGTATAGCATCTTTCCAGTGAGCTGCCTTTAGCAGCTAAGGTTCAAAGTAGGAAATTGGGTGTTACTTCCACTTTTTTAATCTTGCATTTGGCAGTGTACCAATTGAATGCCAGAAAATTGATAGTGCACAGTGCTGTGATACTGAGGTCCATGATTGAATCCCCAGTATAAGTGGAAGCATCAGTTTCCTTACGACTAAAACTGTCCTTTTTTCACCTACTGGTAAAATGGGTACCTGGGCGTTAGCAGACTGTGGTTTGCATCCTGGGTACCAAATTGACCTAATTTGGCCAAAATGCTTTGTATAACAAGGGGGCTTCACATAGTTTCATTGATAACTAGGCTTGTATACCTTTTTACATATAATTGAAGAAATATTTACTTGCAGCCACAAACTCTACATCAGAGACAAGTATAACGACGCTGAAGTATAACAGCTACACCTCGAGCTTGAGTAAAGTGTGGGAAGAGAGGACCCACAGGAGTGCTGCAAAATTAGACTTGACCAAAGTAAGTAGCAAAATTGAATTTAAATACTTGTATAGGAAAATCTAGTTAACGGTAGTGGTTTAGTTTAAATAGTTTAAAATTTAAATATTCACATGGGATTTAACTGTAGGTAAAGTACAGTAGGACCCCTGTAACTGCAGGGGATGCATTCCCAGGACCTGCTGTGATACCAAAACCATGGATAGTAGCAAACCCTGTGTGCTATGCATACTTACTACAGTTTGATACTGATTTGTGCATAATTTAAGTGAAGTACTTCCAAGTGCTGGCAGTTCTTAAAAAGCTTAAGTTGTGAAGCAATTATGCAAATTTGAGTATTGACTGCAGTAAACAAAACTGCAGATACTGAATCTGTGGATGCAGGGGTATTAGCTTATGGTTAACTTTAAAAAAAAAAAAAAAAAAAAAAAAAAAAAATTGTGCAGTTTGATTGGTCTTTAAATTGGTGCTGCATGGTATTAAATTTTCAATGTAATGCTTGAAATTGCACAACTGTAAGTTCATCATTGTCAGGACTGGTAATGGGAAACTGGGGAAGGGGGGGGGGGGAGGAGAAACACACCTTGTTGCCTGATTTTCATAATTCTCAAAGCTGTGTGGGTGTTGACTCCCCAAAAAAAAACCCTGCAGGTATGAAAGATATTGTACCCTTGGCTCAGTCTTAATTTAGGATATTGATGCACATTTTAAAGTTCCATTTTGTTGACGAATTGTATGCTTGAGCCAAACCGACTAATGTGAATTTTTTCCAGGCAGCATCTTAGTGCTGCAGTTTAATTAAAAGCATTAGTATTAAATATACTTTCAAGCCTTTCCTTTTTAGGTATTAAAGGGATTTTTTTATCTTTACAGATAAATGGAAATTGGTTTTTGCTAGTGGCTAATCAGTTGGGAACTGAAAATATAGATGTGTATACAGCTATATCAAAAGTGTACATTTGGGATAGTACTGGAGAGGAGGTATGTACTTTAAAAAATTTTTTTTTTTTTTTTTTATAAATAAAATTGCAGAATACTACCGTTCGTTTTATTCTTTGCAGTTTATATCGAAAGGAGAATACGTTGCGGATCACGTTACCTCTGGCATGTTTATGAAGTCTGTCCGGCCAGAAGAAGAAAATTTCTTTAGTTTAACACAACTTAAAGCTGCCAAATATCCAGTCTTTGAAGAAAACCTGGAATATACCAAAAAAGTACTAGTAAGTGAAATGCACGAATCACTCGCTCACATGTGTGCACTGTCCGAGTTTGGCCAGTGTATAGTAGTTTTTGTATATGCAGGTTATTTGTATAATTCTTCACAATGTTATGGGTTAATGTTCAAGTAAAATACTGTGGTAATTGCTATTGAGAAATCTTTAAGTTGTAGGTACCTATCTTTGGAGTAAAGCAGAATACTTCCCAGACACCCTTGTGGGTAAATTCTCTTATATAATTGAAGTGCTCATTTCAGTTTCTAAATGCAAATGATGCTGTAAATGGCTTGTGCATATTGATGCAAAGTATCATTTAGACTTAGAAATGTCTGTAAATTTGTTGGAATTACTGCTGCTTACTCCTGTGGAGAATATAGAAAAGGCAGGTAATTTGAGTTATGCCTCAATGTTAAGATTGCAAAGAAACCATGGTAGGGGTTAGGTAATTTAGGCATAATTTAATGTTCATGGTGTGTTGCAGGTTTTCAGATATAGCAATGAGACTGGGAGTTTTGCAGAATTTGAATCTTTGGACACATTTGGTGTTGTTGATCAAGCAACTCTGACAGTTGGCGAGAGTCTGTACTTGTTACTCTTGTCGCAAGTTGAGGAAAGACTGGATGTCTATGAATACTTTCCTCTAGAGGCAAGTTTAAATATTTGTTTATAGGAAATTTAAAAAGTTTAAAATCAATTAAGGCTTATTTTAATGAAATGGATACTGAGAATTAGCTTTTTTTTAAAGTTACATTCACCTGATTTGTAGATTTTGGTTAACTTTGCTATTTATTACTTTTAATTAGTAATATACATGGGTTTAACTTTGTCTAGCACTAAGCCTTTTATTTGTTTTGGTAAGGATAAGCTGTCCATTTAATTTTCAGTGCTGTACTAATATTTTAAGCCTTCCTGTTTAAATAATTATAGTAGAAGGGTTAGGTAGACTGCTGAAGTTGAGGCAAAGTGGATATAGCAGTTGCTTTAAGAACTTGGTAAAGTACTGTCCTTGTAATTTACTGCCTGGCCATTTGTGTAGATCGGTAAAATTTGCAGCCACCAATACAATTTAACTTAGAATTTTTCAAAATCTTTTAATTTATATTGGCTTTGATTAGTAATTTCATGGCATGTTGCATACATTTATTGTACTGCTGTAATTTTTTTAGTTAGTTGTATTATTAAAACTAGGCACTAAACCATGAGGGTTCTAGGGCATTGCTGTATTGCAATGAAATGTTAAAATGCTTGTCAATTTAGCACATTTTAGGAACCTCTTGTGAAATGTAGGAATTTGACAACTGTAAGCATGTTGAAGATGGTTAAAAATTGCTGGTGAACATGGTAAAACATTTAGTGCTTTAGACTGAATAGTATTAATTTTGTAAATATTTATTTATAGCTTGTGATTGGCCATTAATATCTGGAAAGACTTCAACATTTGTTTAGAGGGGGCAGAAAGTTTAAAGAAAATAATTGAAAGGTTTACTTTCAAATGAGTAATGAATTTTTTCTTTTGGTAGGGGTTCAAGCTGTATCAAAAAGTTCGTGTTGCAAGGCCATACGCACTAGAGGTCGTGGAATTGCAAATGGAAACCTTCGTCTTGGTGTCTACATCGTTATCACAAGGCTTGCTCAAGCTGAAAGTAAACACAAAGGGTGTTGATGGAAGCAAATTTTAGGGGATTTTAAAACTTTTAATATTTTAAATGTATTTATTTATTTAAAAGCATTTGATATTTTTATTAAAGTTACCCTCTTAATTTTTTTTTTATTTAAAAATTTCCAAAATGTGCAGGAAGTCCTTGAAATGACAAATTTTGAAAAAGAACAGAGGTGGAAAATTGAACTTGAACCCAAAGGGCAGGGGACCAGACATCTGTGCATCCTTAGGAGCAAAGATGCGTGCCCCTAACAAAGACCTTAAACCCCAATGAAACTGGGGTAACTTTTTGAGGTAGGAAAAAAGGGCAAATTAGTCCCAATTTTTTTAAAAGAAATAGACATGAGGCGTTAAAACAAGACCGTTGAAAAATGTTAGTATGCAAAGTTTTTGAAACACCTATAATTGACAACCACACACTTTCAGAGAAAAAAAAACCAGTTTGCAAACCTACTTAAACCACACTTCCTCACAAATTTTACTGCAAAACAAGGATCAGGCCACGACGGAAATGCACTGCAATGACAAGAATACCTACAGGGAGGAACAAGCAGCAGGGGCATCAGGGGGCCCCCTGTGCAAGTGGGGTTCCACAGGGGTCCTCCTAGGACCGGCTTTTTTGGTAAAAGTGAATGACTAAAAAAGGGGATGACTCGAGTGCCTTTTTGCAGATTTTTATTAATGACACCAAATGGTGAAGGATCAGGCGGACAGCCTGGCAGGCTACAAGCCTGGTCCCAGCAACTGACTCTTTAATTTAACCCTGCCAAAACAAAGCATGAAGATTAGGGAAGGGCAAAAACTGAACGTATATTGGGGGGCCAAAGACTCAAACCTACTTAGGAAAATTCTTTGGGTGAGCAATCTGAGGGCACATCAATCAGATAACTTGCAGATAAAGGAGCTGGCAAACCAAAGGGTAGGTTCCGATATCTCGGAAGGAAACCTCCAAAACTCTGTAAAAAAATTACATCAGGCTGTACGGGGGTTTCAGCACCTTTGGGAATCCCACACCTGGCAAGCGTCAACAAAAATTTGAAAAAATGCAAAGGTTTGTAACAAGATTTGCCCAAGGGGGGTTGTCCACAAAGACAGGTTAAGGGATGTTAGGAAGTACGTAGTTTCTCTAGTCGGGGGTGGAATGCCCAGAAAGGATGTAGTGGAGGGGGGAACGTACTATTTTTAAAATGAGGTTTGTAAATCGGGAAGGGGAAGGGGGGACCCTAGCAAAAAAAAGGGGGGGCCAGCCAAAAAACTATCCCTCAACCACAACAGGCAATGCATGCGTGTCACCCCCCCCCCCCCACCCCAATGACTATGAACAAAAAATTTCCTATTAAATCTCAACCTGTCCAAAATTTTTGCCTGAGATACAATTAGGAACTTTAACTATCATCCCCAACACAAAACCTCATTAAATTTTTGAAATTTTTATATTTTAACTACCTCACATTGACAAATCATTTGCAACATAGAAAAAGAATTTTTAGCTCCCCTAAGCATTTTTTTGTTTAAAAAATTATTTTTTTTATTATTTTTTTTTATTATCACCCGGGCCACCCCACCAAGGCAGGGGGGCCCCGAAAAGAAAAACTTCACCATCATTCCCCCACACTTCTTCCCCGAAGGGTGCTTTACACTACATTTTTAAAACTGAACATTAACACCCCTCCTTAAAGGTGCAGGCACTGTACTTCCCATTCCAGGACCAAGCCCGGCCTCCGGGTTTTTCCCTGAACCCTTCATAAATGTTATTTTGCTCCCTCCAACAGCACGTCAAGATTAAAAACCTTTTGTCTCCATTCACTCCTATAAAACACGCTCACGCATCCCTGCTGGAAGCCAAGCCCCTCGCACACAAAACCCCCTTTTACCCCCTCCCCCCAAACCCCTTTCCCTAGGCCGACCCCTACCCCGCCTTCCTTCCCTACAACTGATACACCTTGAAGTCATTCTTTTTCGCTCCATTCTCTCTACTGTCCGAACCACCTCAACAACCCTTCCTCACCCCTCTACAACGTTTTGGTAATCCCGCACCTCCTCCTAATTTCCCAAAAACTACGAATTCTTTTCATTATTTCACACCACACATTGCCCTCAGACATGACATCTCCCTGCCCCCAGCCTTCTCCTCGCGCAAATTCATCACCCACGCTTCACACCCAATAAGGGGTTTGGGTAAAACATCCCATCCCTTCCCCTCTTTTTCCTCCAAGGACAAAGTTCTTTTTCTCCACAGATCCTAAGTGCACCACTACTCTTTTTCCCTCATCAAAACTATGATCACCTCATCTTTTATAGACCCCTCCGGACACTTTCCCCTCCCAAATATCTGAATACGTTCACCTCCTCCTACCTCTCCCCCAATCGATACCCAAACTTTCATCACCTAATCTTTTTTTTATCCTCAAACCTTACCTTTCCTGTATTCACCTTTAATTTTCTTCTTTGCACCCCTACCCAAAATTTATCCACCAACTCTGCAACTTTTCTTCAAAACTCCCAAAGCACAGTGTCATCACAAAGGCAGCGGACAACTCCCATTGTGTGGATTCTTTACTTTTTAAATCCACCCTCTTGCCAAGCCCTCGAAATTTTTTTCCCTTTTTCAACCCCATCTATAAAAATATAAACAACCACGGTGACACACAATCCTTGTCTAAGGCCACTTTTACGGAAAAAATTCCCTCTTCCCTACATACTCTAACTTGAGCCTCACAACCTTTTTAAAAAACTCTTCACTGCTTTCAGTAACCACCCCCTACACCATACACTTGCAACATCTGCCACATTGCCCCCTATCCACCCTGTCAACCCTTTTCAAATCCAAAATGCCACAAAGCCCTTTTTTTAGCCTTATCTAAATACTGTTATTATATGTTTCACGTAAACACCTGGTCCACACACCCCCACCTTTTCCCTAAACCCCTCCTTGTTCATCTGCTATCCTATTCCCCGTCTTCTCTTTTCCCTTTAAATTTTATAACTCAAAACCATACACTTTACCGGTACACTCAAAGAATCCCCCAAAATTTTTGCACTCTCTTTTAACCCCTTTCCCTTATACAAAGGAACATGCTCTCTCTCCAATCCCTAGGTACCTTACCTTCTTCCTACATTTTTTAAATAATTGCCCAACCACCCAAAACTATATCCCCACCTGCTTTTAACATTTCTATCTTTATCCCATCAATCCCGGCTGCCTTACCCCCTTTCATTTTTACCCCCCCCCCCCCTCACGAACTTCCCCACACTCACAACTGGCTCTTCCTCACTCCTACAAGATGTTTTTCCCCTCCTTGCCCTAAAACACGAAATCACAGCTTCCCTATCTTCATCAACATTTAACAATTCCTCAAAATATTCCTTCCATCTTCCCAATACCTCTAACTCTCCATTTAATAACTCTCCTCTCCTATTTTTAAACTGACAAATCCATTTTGTTCTCTAGCTTTCTTAACTTGTTAATCTCACTCCAAAACTTTTTCTTATTTTTCAACAAAATTTTGGGTTGATAACATCTCACCCACTCTCTCATTTGCTCTCTTTTTTACATTGCTTCACCCTCTCTTAACTTCTCTCTTTTTCTCCATAAACTCTTCCCTCCTTGCATCACTTCTACTTTGTAAAAATTTCTCATATCTAACTTTTTCTCCCTTACTACTCTCTTTACATCATCATTCCACCAATCGCTCCTCTTCCCTCCTGCACCCACTTTCCTGTAACCAAAAACTTCTGCTGAACACTCTAACACTACATTTTTAAACCTACCCCATACCTCTTCGCCCCCATTGCCTATGCTCTCATTAGCCCATCTATCCTCCAATAGCTGTTTATATCTTACCCTAACTGCCTCCTCTTTTAGTTTATAAACCTTCACCTCTCTCTTCCCTGATGCTTCTATTCTCCTTGTATCCCATCTACCTTTTACTCTCAGTGTAGCTACAACTAGAAAGTGATCTGATATATCTGTGGCCCCTCTATAAACATGTACATCCTGAAGTCTACTCAACAGTCTTTTATCTACCAATATCTATCAATACATAGTCTGCCCAAAATGCCTAGCCATGCTAGTAGCCTTTGTTTTATGTAAACCACCCATTGTAATCTTTAGAGAAAAATCCTCTTAAAGGGGTGGGGGGGCTCCTTGGCATGGTGAAGAGGCTCTTGGTCCGAGGAATTAGACCTGTCAGTCTCCTTCCTCAGACCGAACCTAATTACCCCCCAATCCCCCCCTAACCTATCTGATCCTCCCTTCCTTTCCTCCCCACCCCTCCCTTTTGCCCTTCCTCTTTTTGGCCTTTGGGATTTTTCCCACAGGCGCACTAGTTCCTAGGTAGGGGGAAGGGTACCCGGGGTCCATCCCATTCCGTTGAGGTTCTTGGCGGTGGCGTAGTTTGCCGTGGAATCTGGATCGCCTGGGGATGTCCCGATCCCTCTCCGGTATCCTGGAGGGAGGCTTTGGGTGTCAGGCGACGGGTGTATCTCTGGAAGCCACCTTTTGGATTCTGGGGATGGTGGCCGAAATCCGGCAGCCCTCTTTCATCCGAGGTAGCTCGGCAGATGAGGTTGCTATCCCAGATTGCTGGTTTACTGGTATGAAGGGTAGGGTATGGCACGGGTTCCATGCTGCATCTGCGGTGCTGAGGTCCTCTTGGGCACAGAGGGAGATTTCCGGCCCTTTCATTCCTCCTGGAGAACCCAGTCCATGAACCTAATACCCCCAGGCCCCTTCTTGATACTGCCACCCCATTCTGACCCTGCCTCACTTTTTTGACCACTTCAGACACTCCTGATGCCCCTGTACCTCTTGCTGGTGCAGTTTCCTCGCCCGCTTCAGGTACCAGGGTTTCGACTGACTCGTTTGATTTGTCTGACCTCCGCTCTCCTTTGACTATGCTTCCGGCCTCTCCCTCTATGGTACGGCAATTTTCCAATCTCCAGCCCGTTTCACGTCGGACCAACTCCTAAACGCCAACGACAATCTCCTGATGTTACTTAGTTACCTTCCCATTCTAC